AAGTGAGGAGGAATTAAAGAACCTTGTAATGAGGGTGAAAGATGAGAGCACCAAAAATGGTTTGAAAACATCAAAAAAACTAAGATCGTGGCCACTGGTCCTATCACATCCTGGCAAATAGAAGGGGAAGATAAAGAGGCAGTGACAGATTTTACCTTCTTGGCCTCCCTCATCACTGCAGATAGTGGCAGCAGCCACAAAATTAAAAGACGCCTGCTTCTTGGAAGGAAAGCAATGACAAACCTCAACAGCATCTTAAAAAGCAGAGACATCACCTTTCCGAAAAGGTCTGCCAAGATAAAGCTATGGCTTTTCCAGTAGTGCTGTATGGAAGTGAGAGCTGGATCATAAAGAAGGCTAACCACTGAAGAATTGATGCTTTTGAATTGTGGTGCTGGAGGAGACTCTTAAGAGTCCCCTGGACTGCAAGGCGATCAAACCTATCCCTTCTCAAGGAAATCAACCCTGAGTGCTCACTGGAAGGACAGATCCTGAAGATGAGGCTCCAATACTTTGGCCATCTCATGAGAAGACTCTCTGGAAAAGACACAAAAGTGTGAAGGCAAGAGGAGAAGGGGACGACAGAGGATGAGATGGTTGGACAGTGTCACCAGAGTTACCAACATGAATGTAGCCAAACTCTGGGAGGCAGTGGAAGACAAGAGGGGTCACAAAGAGTTGGATACAACTTAATGACTAAACAAGAACAACATTTCTTACATCACCTCCTAAATGTATACAGAAGAACTCAACCTACACTTCATGAAAAATTACCCCATCTTTCAACATATGTTAAAAGTAAAAAAAGATCACATACCCATGCTATGTTGCTGCTGCTGGGACACTATGCCAGGCTGGGGTAGCTGTGGGAATACTAGACCAGGTGGCTGAGGCAGTGGGTATATTTGACCAGGCTGTGGCTCCACTATGCCAGGCCATTGAGGCTGTGGGAATACTAGGCCAGGCTGTTGTGGCCGCATTTGACCAGGCTGTAGTTGTACTACACCAGGCTGAGGAAGCTGTGGTCGTAGGTGACCAGGCTGTGGCTGTACTACGCCAGGCTGAGGAAGCTGTGGCCGCATTTGACCAGGCTGCGGTTGTACTACACCGGGCTGAGGAAGCTGTGGTGGTAGTTGACCAGGCTGTGGCTGTACTACACCAGGCTGAGGAAGCTGTGGTCGTAGTTGACTAGGCTGTGGCTGTACTACACCAGGCCGAGGAACCTGTGGTTGTAGGTGACCAGGCTGTGGCTGTACTACACCAGGCTGAGGAAGCTGTGGTCGTAGTTGACTAGGCTGTGGCTGTACTACACCAGGCCGAGGAACCTGTGGTTGTAGGTGACCAGGCTGTGGCTGTACTACACCAGGCTGAGGAAGCTGTGGTCGTAGTTGACTAGGCTGTGGCTGTACTACACCAGGCCGAGGAACCTGTGGTTGTAGGTGACCAGGCTGTGGCTGTACTACACCAGGCTGAGGAAGCTGTGGTCGTAGTTGACTAGGCTGTGGCTGTACTACACCAGGCCGAGGAACCTGTGGTTGTAGGTGACCAGGCTGTGGCTGTACTACACCAGGCTGAGGAAGCTGTGGTCGTAGTTGACTAGGCTGTGGCTGTACTACACCAGGCCGAGGAACCTGTGGTTGTAGGTGACCAGGCTGTGGCTGTACTACACCAGGCTGAGGAAGCTGTGGTCGTAGTTGACTAGGCTGTGGCTGTACTACACCAGGCCGAGGAACCTGTGGTTGTAGGTGACCAGGCTGTGGCTGTACTACACCAGGCTGAGGAAGCTGTGGTCGTAGTTGACTAGGCTGTGGCTGTACTACACCAGGCCGAGGAACCTGTGGTTGTAGGTGACCAGGCTGTGGCTGTACTACACCAGGCTGAGGAAGCTGTGGTCGTAGTTGACTAGGCTGTGGCTGTACTACACCAGGCCGAGGAACCTGTGGTTGTAGGTGACCAGGCTGTGGCTGTACTACACCAGGCTGAGGAAGCTGTGGTCGTAGTTGACTAGGCTGTGGCTGTACTACACCAGGCCGAGGAACCTGTGGTTGTAGGTGACCAGGCTGTGGCTGTACTACACCAGGCTGAGGAAGCTGTGGTCGTAGTTGACTAGGCTGTGGCTGTACTACACCAGGCCGAGGAACCTGTGGTTGTAGGTGACCAGGCTGTGGCTGTACTACACCAGGCTGAGGAAGCTGTGGTCGTAGTTGACTAGGCTGTGGCTGTACTACACCAGGCCGAGGAACCTGTGGTTGTAGGTGACCAGGCTGTGGCTGTACTACACCAGGCTGAGGAAGCTGTGGTCGTAGTTGACTAGGCTGTGGCTGTACTACACCAGGCCGAGGAACCTGTGGTTGTAGGTGACCAGGCTGTGGCTGTACTACACCAGGCTGAGGAAGCTGTGGTCGTAGTTGACTAGGCTGTGGCTGTACTACACCAGGCCGAGGAACCTGTGGTTGTAGGTGACCAGGCTGTGGCTGTACTACACCAGGCTGAGGAAGCTGTGGTCGTAGTTGACTAGGCTGTGGCTGTACTACACCAGGCCGAGGAACCTGTGGTTGTAGGTGACCAGGCTGTGGCTGTACTACACCAGGCTGAGGAAGCTGTGGTCGTAGTTGACTAGGCTGTGGCTGTACTACACCAGGCCGAGGAACCTGTGGTTGTAGGTGACCAGGCTGTGGCTGTACTACACCAGGCTGAGGAAGCTGTGGTCGTAGTTGACTAGGCTGTGGCTGTACTACACCAGGCCGAGGAACCTGTGGTTGTAGGTGACCAGGCTGTGGCTGTACTACACCAGGCTGAGGAAGCTGTGGTCGTAGTTGACTAGGCTGTGGCTGTACTACACCAGGCCGAGGAACCTGTGGTTGTAGGTGACCAGGCTGTGGCTGTACTACACCAGGCTGAGGAAGCTGTGGTCGTAGTTGACTAGGCTGTGGCTGTACTACACCAGGCCGAGGAACCTGTGGTTGTAGGTGACCAGGCTGTGGCTGTACTACACCAGGCTGAGGAAGCTGTGGTCGTAGTTGACTAGGCTGTGGCTGTACTACACCAGGCCGAGGAACCTGTGGTTGTAGGTGACCAGGCTGTGGCTGTACTACACCAGGCTGAGGAAGCTGTGGTCGTAGTTGACTAGGCTGTGGCTGTACTACACCAGGCCGAGGAACCTGTGGTTGTAGGTGACCAGGCTGTGGCTGTACTACACCAGGCTGAGGAAGCTGTGGTCGTAGTTGACTAGGCTGTGGCTGTACTACACCAGGCCGAGGAACCTGTGGTTGTAGGTGACCAGGCTGTGGCTGTACTACACCAGGCTGAGGAAGCTGTGGTCGTAGTTGACTAGGCTGTGGCTGTACTACACCAGGCCGAGGAACCTGTGGTCGTAGTTGACCAGGCTGTGGTTGTACTACACCAGGCTGAGGAAGCAGTGGCCGCATTTGACCAGGCTGTGGTTGTAGTACACCAGGCTGAGGAAACAGTGGCCGCATTTGGCCAGGCTGTGGTTGTACTACACCAGGCTGAGGAAGCTGTGGCCGCATTTGACCAGGCTGTGGCTGTACTACACCAGGCTGAGGAAGCTGTGGTCGCATTTGGCTAGGCTGTGGTTGTACTTCACCAGGCTGAGGAAGCAGTGGCCTCATTTGACCAGGCTGTGGTTGTAGTACACCAGGCTGAGGAAGCTGTGGACGCAGTAGGCCAGGCTGTTGTGGCTGAGGTGCTGGATGTATTTGACCAGGCTGTGGTTGGAGCACCTCTGGTTGTTCTATGCCAGACCCAGGAGTCAGTGGCAGCATGTATATTAGACCTTGCTGAGACGGCAAGGCCACTGGTGTCTCTGGCCATAGCATACCAGGCTGGGGCATGGGCACTGGCTGCAGTAAGCCAGGCTGGGGAGCCTGAGGCAATGGGCCTATTAGTCCAGGCTGTTGCGGTTGTGGCTGGGGCACCTGTGGCTGCACTATGCCAGGGTGGGGCAACTGTAGGCCATAGCGAGGAGGTTGTGTTCTAGGCCGGTGTCCTGTACGCCTGTTGTTCTCTGGTACTGGTACATATTCTTGTGGCTTGGGGCAAACCATATCGATGTCATGGGAAGCAGCAATTATTCTGTTTCTTTTTATTTCTTCCAAACGAACCTTCAGATGATTTCTGCCATCCTACAAAGAATTGAACCAGATGGTGGTGGTGCAGTTATAAGCTTCTATTATAGATACAGTTATGACAGAATTATGACTCAGAACATAGCTTTCATAAAGTCAGTATTTCTAATAGGGTGTCATTATAACCTCTCAGACATCTTACTAATCTAGTTTTACTAGTCACTATTTTTGGGGAGGGGACAAATATGGAGATTATGGACTAAAACAATAGAATGCATTGCTATGTACCAGACAAGAAGGATCCTCCTTACCCAGCTTCTTCCAGGCAAGTTCCCTCCCCCCCAAATATTGTTGGACTGCATTGCTTCCACATCCTCTAATCGGTTAGGCCAATGGTTCGGAATGGTGGGAAATTGTAACCTAACACATTTGCAAGGCTCCTTTGTTGGGCAAGGTTGCCCAAGAACATCATCTGAAAGTTCATACTGGAAGCTGGCCAGAGAAGCCCTCTTTCCCTATTTGAGGGCTTCTCTTCTACTGACAGGCCAAGTTCCTGTTGTTTGGAGTCCCCATCTACATTAGCACAGGAAGTAGCCCTTCCACTACTCATGTCTGTGCACTCTTCGAGCCCCTATGCGTCATGTTTCACAGTTCTGTTCCTGGTATCATTAAAACAGAGCCTGGAAACACACCTTTTTAGGCCTTCCATATATCCTATATGAAGGGTAAGCAGCATATAGCCCCTATGGACTCAGATGTGACCATCAACACTCCTCCCCCCAGAACTTCCACCAAATTTTTTTAAAAACAAAAAAAATTACTCTTGTGCCCCTAAGTAGCACAGAGAAAATTCTGCCATGTTTTGAAAGGTCCTCAACACCCCTGCGGCCCCCAAAGAGGTTTTACTTATTTTCATTTTAGGGTGGAGTCTCCTTTATGCACATTTGAAAGGAGGTTGTATTGTTCTTCAGAACTTTTTGGAGGAAGGGCCCAGTGGAAATGGTTATGAAAATCACAATATTGAGAATTGCAGAACATATTTTATAGTCCTGCCCCAATACTCACTTTCTTTAGTATGTGGCAGCCATTATAACCAGCAGAGAAAGCAACAGATCCATCATTAGATGTGATCCAGTGACGACAGATGGAGCAATTTGAAACTTCAAAAGCTGTCCCAAATTCATCTGTTGATGAGAGTTTAATGCATCAGGAGCTGTACTTGGGAAGTATCACTTGGAAAACACAGTAAGAAACACCAGTAGGAATTCCTAAAGTTCTTCAGATCAGGTGCTGGAGAAGTTTTTTTGGGGGGTGGGTTACAACTCTCAGAATTTACCTGCCAGAATTAACCACGGGCAACACTAGCTAGGATTATTAATGCTGTTGTTTAAAAAATGACTTTTCCAAAGTTCTCTTCAGATTTTCGTGGCTTAGAGGCTCACATCTAAACAGGTGCTTTTGGCATCAGTCCAAAGATAAGGCTAAAAGAAGATTCCAACATCTCCAACAGTTTTTCCTACATCTGCATTCTCTTATTATGTTACAGTCACAACAAACTAGACATGCATCCTGATCTTAAAATATATCCATGTTTTATTTGGAAATAGATTCTTCCAGAATCAAAGGTAGCATGCACAGCACCACACACCAGGCTGTTACACCAAATTAACACTTGTTTTGAGACCAAAAAGCTTTTTTATAAAGCCATGGTACAGGTTTTCAGTGTTGAGTTCCTGTCCTTACCAATCCCACCCCCACACCTTTGCAATTTTAATAGTAGCAACGTAGGTACTAATTTGGAATGGTTCCATGTTCTCTCTAGGTTTACAGCTTGCATATATCCTGTCTTATTTAAATCTATTACTCTAGTGTTTTTTAATCTCTCTAGAGAAAACCACAGGGTCCTTCCCAGTGTTAAAGCCTATAAAAGGGCAACTAACAAGGGTAACAGTTTATAGCTCCACCACCAAGATGAAAGGAGGGCACTAAGAACTCCTCCCTGAAGCAAAGCAGCTCTAAACATAGCCAAGCAAGAGTTGAAGATGGTACTACACAGGGACTTAATACCCCCAAAAAACCAAGAATAGCTCAAGTTTGTTATACTTGATCTCAGTACATACGTAGCCCAAGACATTTTGTTAGCTCAGGTAGAATAATAAACACCATTTTTCCCACCTTTCAGTCAAAGGGCATCATATCCTAAACCCAATCAAATTAACTTTGGCAAATGAGGCAGAAAAATCCAACAAACATCTCCCTCCTGCCCAAGGATCAGAAAAAATACTCTTTGGACTACAATGCCCAGGATTTCTTATTTGTGTGAGTAAAAGCACAAGAACAAGTGAGTAACTGTATTTTGCTACCCTTTCATGACACCCAAAACCTACTTCCTGAGGCAGCCACCTCATTTGCCTAATAAGGCTGGTGCTGCTTCATATTTAGCCCCCCCAACAGTCACCCCCCCTTCATGTTTGCTCAAACAGGAGACTGGAGGGAAATAACAAACAAACAAAATTACCTTACAGGATGTTTAATAGAGAAAGAGCTATTATGTCACTGCATAATAAAAGCTTTCCAGAGCCTTATCTTTCTGCTTTTACTAAAATAAAATAAAATAAAAAAGGTGTTGTGACAGGCCTGATTTCCAGAAACAGCCCAATTTATCCTTCTTATGGCATCAGTGAGGATGGAAGAAAGTTTTCCTTACCCACAACTTTAAACCGGACATCTTGGTCCTGGTGAGGATACACAAGCAGCTGCATGCTGTGTTCTCCACAGTTATACTGATACTGCAGGGATAAGGGGCCAGATCTCCAGAAATCATCCTGCCCATAGCAGAAGCTCAGAAGCACCAAGATCACTAAACCCACCAAACCTCTAGAGCCCAACTCCATAATTACAGCAAATAAAGCATAAGCAGCCACCCCCCAGCTGCATAAGACCAGGACTATACCGAAAGGAGAGATTTATAGAGTTAGTGGAAGGAGTGAGTTGTTGTTACAGAGTACTGAGTGAGGAGAGCCTGCACCTGGGGATCTGCAGGACAGTAATGAGGGATCGGGTCAAAAGTACAAATCTCAGCTCAAAGAGAAAAGTACCTGCCACCATTTATTCCAATGGGCATCTCTCTCCAACGCTTTATTCCCCCCTCCCCTTTTAAATTTTTTTTGCTATGAGCTCACATAGTTTGTGTGAGCTTATAGCAGGACGTTTGTGGGTTTCTTGCATCATGTGTCAAAATACAGATTTGGGTGCTATGCATTGGACTTAAGGGGTGCAGTCTCGAGACCATAAGCAGCATTGCCTCAGGAGAATGGCCAGGTAGAAAAGGTGGGCAAGGCTCCTCTACCTTTAATAGTTGTGCAGCAGAGTGAATTTCAACAGAGGTAGCTTGCATGACAAGCAACACCTGCTGAAATTCTTATTTTTATTAAACAGGCAGGTCCCTTGTCCTCTTTTCCACTTGCCACCCTATGCTTCAAGCAGCAAAATCTCAACCCTTCTCTGCTTCCTTGGAAAGCAACTCTGTCCCAGTGAATTAAACAGGGCTTTGTCCTGAATAAATTTGGGCAGATTCTGGCACCAGATCTCCTTTTTCTGGTTTTTATGTCAACCTACTGCCCCTTCCCTTTTTTTCTTTTCTTTTTCTGCGCCTTTCTGCAGTAATGTTCTCCATTTGCTGTGTTCCCTGCATGGTTGAGATGTCTTCCTTACTGCATTGCTCCCATGCTTATTTGCTGCATATTGTGAGGTTCTATGTAAAGTTTACTGTAAATCAAGGAATGTCAGAATTTTCTTTCTTATCAAACAGGAGCAAAACAGTCAGTTATGAGACACTCGTGTTTAAAAAGCACACCACTGAGTTACATTTTGTGACATATTTGTAACTTTATTTTCAAACTGTTTTATTTACAGTGAATTAGGTGTCTTGCTGTAGAGCCAGAGGTTGGGAATTGGTTTTTCACTGGGCCTCCTTGGAAAAGAGCCAGGCTATGTAGCCTTGGGTAAGAGGCACAGTCCCCCCCCCCCAAAAAGGGACTGATAAACTACTTCTGAGTATTCTATACCTAGAAACCCCTAAAAAGAGGTCGCTATTAGTCAGAATTGACTTGATGGCATGTACTATTTATTTATTTATTTACTTACATTTTGCAGTAACAGTACTGGAAGAATCAACAGATACATGGGCTAGAATGTCAGGCACTCATGTGTATGTGAGTAACCAAATATCTTTAAGGTAGATCTAGAAATCTGTACTACCATAGGTCACGCTTTGTAGTTCTTCTAGTTTTCAATGTACCTCTCTGTTCTAAAATATTATTATTATTATTATTGCACTCTATACCAGAGCACATTCCAAATAACATAAGTACCTCGGTGTACACTTCTGTATCAACCATAAGTACTTTCATTCAGTAAAACTATCCCACAAAATTTAATGTAATCCTAGTGCAACCCTATACATGTATACTCAAAAGTAAGCCCATTCAATTCAATGGGGATACCTCTAGGATATGTGTATGTGCCTAGGATGGCAACATTATTTTCGTGTAAGTAAGGACAGGACTATACTCATTACCCAGTCGTGTATGTGACGTACATTTGTTTATACCCAGCCTTTCTCAAGGACCCAACCCAATCATGTTGAACCTCGACCCAGCCTTTCTCCTTAAAAAGGACCCAACCCAATCATGTTGAACCTCATCTTTTTAGAGAAATGAGTATGCCAATGAAAAGAGAAACAGTAAACCTATGCAACAAAAAGATGGCAAACAAGCTGCTGCAGCTGATTCTTTCTTACGTATATACTGTATTTTGATATGGTAAGTGATCTTTGTATTTCATAATGGCGGGTTGCTTTATTTTTCAAATTACAGTATATTGAAATATATATTGGCCTGGCATACCAGACCTGAGATATAATTCTGATCAAACAATTTCAAGTTATCCCTATCCTGAGAATGGCAGTTACATCACAGAGACACCAACCAACCTTACTGAAGGACTGGAAAAAAAGAGAATATTCTTAATTTGCAAGAGTGTGCCTATTTGAACACATTTGGAGGACTATAAGGAACAACCAGATGTGGACTGAACTTCTTGGGACATCACAAATTACTACTTCCTGACTGGCCAAGATGAAGCTCAAAAAATTTCTGGATCTCCTTCCAGGAGTGTTCCTGAGCTTTGGCGTGGAGTTCTAACTTGCCTCCCCATTGTACAGGTCTAAAACAATTCCGCATGAAGGAGCTAAAGCAAAGTGGGGAGCCAGGAGATTCTATTAGGTGCCCAGCGCCTGGATAAGATAGCAAAATGCAGTTATTTTTCCCATATTTCCTGGCTCTAGCGATGGCCAACTCAGCATGCAGCTTGCTGTTCAAGCTAGCATCAGCTTCTCCCACTACAAAGAGTATGTGCCCTTGGGCCTTTTCCAAAGGGATGACGCAGGATTCATCCTCAGGATCTTGCGCACCATAGGTGTTGGACAGGATTCCCATTTCAGTGACTAGAAACTTCTCTGGACAATAGGGGGCAGCAGGCATATAGACATCATGAAAGCGGAGTGGTGTGCCATGCAATCTTGTGGGCCCATTGATGCACACAGTAGCCACTATTTGCTCTAAGAAGGTGGCCATGGCTAGTGCGATTTCTCCTCCTTTGGACACTCCAATGACTCCAAGTCCTGGGCCTCTTACCTGGGAAACATACAAAAAGAGAAAGGAGGGGCTTTACATGAATTACTACATCAAAGGTTTGAGAGATGGTAATGCAAAAACAGCAAGTAAAACTAGGGTCCCTTAGAAGGCTGTGTGAGGCAGTTGCCTTAGTCAGCAAGGTGCCAGGAGCAATTTTTATAGTCCAAACAGCTTGGCTCTGAGGATCTTTCAGAGCTAGCCATTTAGGAAATACAGTAGTTGGCTTTGTAAAAAGCTAGTTTGTTAATGGGGGTGGGGTACAAGAGAGACTTTTGCGAGTCCTCCTCTGATGGTGATGGGGTGTGGTTTCTCTTCTTCCACATTGTGGGTATTTGCTGATATTATTGCTGCATGATGTAGGGAGGGGAGCACTTTGCTTCAAGCTTGAAGTAGCTGGAGTGCTAAGGCTTCCCTTCTGGAAGACTCATGCTAAACCTAAAGGTATTTATTCAGAAGTAAGAAGGGTTCTGTACATTGTACCTAGCCTACAGGTAATGAATCTCTTTCCCCACTGAACTAGGAGCAGCTGTCTTAGTCCAATCAATGTCTGAAACCAGTAACTGGGTAGGTAAGAAGGCACATAAATCCATATAAAGACAAAACTAGCCTGTTCAGGAATGGCAAGGAAGAGACTCCCATTAATAAAAGTTTACAAAGATGGAAACGGTTTCATTTTCAGGATGCAGTTCACCTGTAGGTTTTCTTCTCAATATTTCTGTAAAGTGTTTCTCATTTTTTCCTTTGTCATCAGCATCACCATTATTATTGTTGTTATCTGGCTTTTTACAAGTTAGTGCTGGTACCTACCTGCTTGCTGCCATAATATAAATACTGTACATATTATTATATGTATAAATAAATGTGCGAAGAGTATGAATATCAACTGTGATTTGTTTTGTGCTTTGAAACTTCATAAATATATTAAGTAAAAGAAAAGACAAAATGATGGTTGGAGATTCTCTCCATGCTTAAAGAAGTAAGGGCTACTCAGCACTAACTGTGTTAGTTCTGCTTGGTCCTACTGCATTAATGTCACACTGTCTAATCTTTATTTATGGTCCCTTATATCCTTTCCTCTTCCTCAGTTGAGAGGGTACCAGAAACACACTACTAAGGGAACACTGAGTGAACCATTCTGGTTCCAGAACAAGGGATAAACACAGCTGAAAATACTGTGGACTAGAAGTGTATGTTAGTTGGTTGCTGGAGAAATGACCCTTCATTCTTTTGAATCCCGATGAAGATAGAAAGGCATAGGTGCCTTGGCAGATTTATTGTATAAATGATTGACAGGGATGTACACACACACACTGATAAGTCTCCCTGAGTCCACCTGGCCATAGTCCTTTAGGGTGTGCAACTGCATGAGTTACTTTGCCCCCAATGGCACAGGGGTTACCATGATCTGGGCAAAAGGAAGGGTTTTTACACCCTTATCTCTCTCTGCTTGCTGAAACTGCCAGGGAGGAGTGGAAGACAAATGGTTCCCCTCCAGGGAAAGAAAAATTGTTATGTTCTGAATGTTATGAACTTCTGCTCTGACCTGGTCGGAATGTGACTTTGATAAGGTAAACTTACTTTAGAACAATAAGTTTGTAAGTAAAGGAATCAATATATTGGCTGAAATCTAACAAGTAATCATGACTAAGGTAGGCCCGTTAAATCAATGGAACTTACATAGGTGTTGACTCAACAAATCTCTGCTATTTTAATGGGCCTACTCTCTAGTTGTGACTCAATGCTGGATTTCAGCCACGGTTTCCTCTGTACTCCCGCCTTCCAATACACTGATCTGACATTCATGAAACAGTTAGAAATTTATTTTATCCAATCCAGTAAATGAGGACTTTTTGTGTCTGTTAATGATTCTAAAGGAAACATGCACCACCGCCACCTGACATACCTTAGGGTGTTCTAAGAGCATGGTTGATGCTTCCGCAAAATACTCCAGGTCCAATTCTGTTATGCTCTGTGGCAGGTCATCATATCCAAAGTAAGCCAAGGCCAGCACAGCAAAGCCTTTACTAGCCAGAAGGCCGGCTCGGAACTCAATGAGACCACCAACTCCACCAAACAAGTCAATCACGCCTGGAAATGGCCCAGGCCCTGCAAAGAAATCAAAGAGACAGAGTGCAAGCATTAAGTGAAGAGCAAGGGAAAATAATCTGTGACAGAAGAAGGAGGAGGAAGAGGAAGTGAAAAAAAATGCTTGTGGTGGTATCAGAAAAATTTAACGTGCCATCAAGCATATATTGATTTCAGTAAGGCCTTTGACAAAGTTCCCCATGATATTCTTCTAAGGAAGCTAGCAAAATGTGGGTTAGACAGTGCTACTGTTCGGTGGATTTGGAGAGAGGTAACTAGTGGGATGCCTCAGGGTTCTGTTCTGGGCCCTGTGCTATTCTGCATCTTTATCAATGACTTGGATTAGAGTATGCTGATTAAATCTGCAGATGATGCCAAATTAGGAGGGGTTGCTGATTCTCCAGAGGACAGGATTAAAATTCAAAATTACCTTGACAGATTAGAGTCCTGGGCCAAAACTAACAAAATGAATTTCAACCGGGAGAAATATAACATCCTACACCTAGGCAGAAAAAATGAACTGCACAGATATAGGATGGAAGACACCTGGCTAGACAACAGGACCTGTGAAAGGGATCTAGGAGTCTTGGTAGACCACAAACTGAACATGAGTCAGGAGTGTGATGTGGCTGCCAAGAAAGCCAATGCAATTCTTGGTTGCATCAATAGGAGTATAGTGTGTAGTAGATTAAGGGAAGTGATAGTACCACTCTATTCTGCCTTTGCCAGACCTCACCTGGAGTATTGTGTCCAATTCTGGGCACCTCAGTTCAAGAAGGATGTTGACAGCCTGGAATGTGTCCAGAGGAGGGTGATCAAAATGGTCAAAGGTCTGGAAGCCATGTCCTATGAGGGGCGGATTAGGGAGTTGGGAATATTTAGCCTTACAAAAAAGGTTAAGAGGGGACATGATAGCCATGTTTAAATATTTGAAGGGTTTTCATGCTGAGGAAGGGACAGGTTTGTTTTCCAGGGCTCCAGACACTAGGACAAGGAGCAATGGTTTCAAACTACAGGAAAAGAGATTCCACCTGAATCTCAGGAGGAACTTCCTGACAGTCAGGTAGTCAGCAGTGGAATAGCCTGCCTCAGAGTGTGGTGGAGTCTCCTTCTTTAGAAGTTTTTAAGCAGAGGCTGGATGGCCATCGGTCGGGAGTGCTTTGATGGAGTTCCTGCATGGCAGGGTGTTGGACTTGATGGTCTCTGTGGTCTCTTCCAGCTCTGTGATTCTATGATTCGAAGTCAATTCTGACTTTTAGTTGGTAGACAGCAATCAGGAGTGGTTTACTGTTTCCTTCTTTGGCGGGGGACTATGCAGCTTGCCCAACACCACAAAAGTTGGCTCTTCTCACAATGCGGAATCGAACTCACAACTCCCAGCACCACAGCCAAATAACAAACTCACTCAGCTATTCAGTCAGCTTGTGATATCACATATACACACAAAAATCTATCATCAAAGAGACCGATACTGTATTTCAGAAACTTCAGCTTTACCATATCAAGCCTAACAAAGCTTGGAAATGTCACCTTTGTGGAGTACTTTTTCTGAGAAGAGGGGATTCTTGAAGTTGTACTGCAAAAAAAGACTAATGCTTCCAACCCTTGATCTGTATGAATCCGGATTTAAGAGACGCTTCATATTTATAGAAGAAGAAGAAAATTAAATGTAAAGTAAATGTGGATTAAAAGAAGTCTGACTCATGGGTTTATGTGAATGGCTCACAAGACTGGTTTTAAAGAAATAAGAACATCTTCTAGCTGTGCTTGCCTTTATTTTGAGATCTAAATGTGTGATCTAGCTTGGTGGTGGTTGTTCTTGTTGTTATGTGCTATCACGTCTCCATTGTCCTAGGGCAATCCTTTGAATGAATGGTCTCCAAAATGTCCTGACCTCAACTGGCCTGTTCAGCTCTTGTAAACATAAGCCTGTGGGCTCCTTTAGGGAGTCAGTCTAGCTTGTATTTGGTCTTTCTCTTCTCCTGCTGCCTTTCACCTTTCCCAGCATTTTTGTCTTTTTCAGAGAATCCCCATCATATGCCCAAAGTAGGACAGCTTCAGTTTCAACATTTTTGCCTCCAGAGATAGTTCAGATTTGATTTCTCTAGGACCCACTTCTTCATCTTTCTGGCAATCCAGGGTATCTGCAAATCTCTCCTCCGGCAACATACTTCAAATGAATCATTTTTTTCCTGCCAGATTTTGTTACTGCCCAGCTTTCACACCCATACATGTTGATTGGAAATACAGTGGTGCCCCGCATAGCGACGTTAATCCATTCCAGATTAATCGTCGCTATGCGGAAACATTGCTAAACGGATGGAAAAACCCCATAGGAACACATTAAAGGTTCCTATGGGGGTGGAAACTTACCGCTAAGCGGGAATCCTCCATCCGGCTGCCATTTTCGCCGCTTCGGTAAGCAAGGAAATCGCGTGAAAAAGCTTGTGGTGGCCATTTTGTGCACCCGGCGGCCATTTTGGAACCGCCGATCAGCTGTTCTAAAAACATCGCAATGAGAAGATCGGTAAGCGGAACGCTTACCGGTCATCACAATGCGATGTTTACACTATCTAAACATCGCAATGCAATCGCAAAAAACAGATCGCTATGCGGATTCGTCGTTAAACGGTGCACTTGTTATGCGATGCACCACTGTACAAGAATGTGCATGATCTTGGTCTTTGTCTCCAGTGACATACAGTGGTGCCCCGCATAGCGACGTTAATCCATTTCGGATTAATCGTTGCTATCTGGAAACATCACTAAACGGATCTAAAAACCCCATAGGAACGCATTCAACTTCGTTAAATGCGTTTCTATGGGGCCCAAACTCACCATTCAGCGAAGATCCTCCATAGCGCCGCCATTTTCGCCGCCTCGGTAAGCGAGAAAACCGCACAAAAATGCTTGTGGCGGCCATTTTGGGCACCTGGCAGCCATTTTTGAACCGCCGATCAGCTGTTCTAAAAACATCGCAATGCGAAGATCGGTAATGAAACACTTACCGATCATCGCAATGTGATGTTTACCCTATCTAAACATCGCAATGCGATCGCATTAGCGATCCCAAAAAATAGATCGCTATGCAGATTCGTCGTTAAACGGTGCGCTCGTTATGCGAGGCACCACTGTATCTTTACCTGTAATGATTTTTTCTAATTCCTTCACTGCTGCCCTTCCTAGTCTCAGTCCTAGCTTGTACATCATACAATATGTATAGACCAGGAAAGGGAATTACTGGGCCCACTAGGTACTTGTGCCCCCCCAATCTCCCCATGGTTCCAAAAACCTGTAGGGAGTATAATTCTCCTTTAAATAATGTGTTTCCCCAACACATTCTTTTAATCTCCCAAAATATGTATGGCCCATAGCAGCTGGGAGATTGAAATGGCCCACTAACATAGACCACTCGTGTGGAATAAAGCTGCATGGTTCTTGTAGGTATTTAATCAGATTCATATTCCACTCTTCTTACATGGAGCAGGTAAAGGTAAAAGATCCCCTTGACAATCTGTTCAGTCATGTCCAACTCTAGGGGGTGGTGCTCATCTCCGTTTCCAAGCCATAGAGCCAGCGTTTCTCCAAAGACCATCTTCCGTGGTCATGTGGCCAGCACGACTAGACATGGAACACCGTTACCTTCCCACTGTGGTGGTACCTATTTCTCTACTCGCATTTTGCATGCTTTCAAGCCGCTAGGTTGGCGGGAGCTGGGACAAGCGATGGGCGCTCACTCCGTCGGGTGGATTTGATCTTACGACTGCACAGAGGCTTCTGCGGTTCAACCAGCACCACCACCACCATGCAGCAAGAAGGGACTTAATTGTAAACATAACTTGGTGGCCTGGTTTTACAAAGTTAAACAAGATTAGATCCAGAAGCTTGCTCTCAGAGCTACTGCAGAAACTTGGAGGGACAGGAAACAAAGTGGCTGTAACTGATGGACTGAAAGTAGTCTTCTCTCACGGAGCCTATGTGAATCCTGTGTAATAACTGCAAGCCACTGTTTGCCACCAACTTAAAGGTTTAATGTTTAGATTTTTAGAAGTAATTTTAACTTGTCTGATTTTGATCATCCTTGTTTAGTTTTGTAATTTATGAGTTTATGATGTATATTGTCATTTTGTTATTCTGTGCTGTGAACTGTCAAGAGTGGCCTTTGGCCAGATAGGCAGAATATAAATTGACTGACTGACTAAAGGAATGAATGAATGAATGAATGCACACACAATATTGAGAAAAGGAAAGAATTGTAGAGTTGTTGGAAAGTTTCTAAAAGGATTGGGAGAAGAGGGTACGGATCTGTCCAGAGAAGAAAAAAACTAGTGAAGAAGTGGGAGTGCATTGAATAGAGAAGGTCTGGGGGTACCTCTGCTGGTTCAGATATCATTGGACTCCAGCTTCCCTTATCCTGCCCAGGTATGAGAAATGAAGGAAGGAATATTTCATTGATCTCTGCAGGGCCATAGGTTCTCCATTTGTGGATTCCACTTTATTTTTATAAGCTGATATGGGTTAGGAAGGTTTATCATCCTGGTACTTGTTAAGTTCATGCTCAGATAACTTCTGCCATGCTTGAATGCTGCCAGACCATACTTAACTATTTAGTACGGCAGGTGAGTAACAGCAATGGAGGAAGGGAAGAGAGAGAGAGAAAACAGCATTTTCTTACCTGGAGGCACATAAAGGGCCCCCCGAACTCTGCCTTTTCTGATCTGGAAACGTTCCACTCCGGGAGCCACAAACCATCTTTCCACAGTACAAGTTGCAAGTGGTGCCTCAGTGGGTGAGTCCAGCAACACAAAAGAGTTGAAGATGCTGACCTGGATGTCAAAAGGGCTGCCTACCACATCACGTTTTAGCAATCTGAAGAACATTTTCTCTGGCTTCAGGGAACAGAATAGGCCCATGGGCCACACACCTTGATAGTGTCCGCCCAGAGCGGGTGCCTGCTTCACATCCACTTCTCCAGCACTGTTTGCCCGGTAGAAGGCTCTGGCTTCAAACTTCACTCCCTTTTCATCTGTCAGTGATGCAAATAGGGTCACAGGCTGGGAGGGAGCCAGACCAGAGGCACAAATCCACAGGGGTGAATCAGCTAGTGAGGTTTTAGGGGTGACGCTGAGATGAACCATGTTAGCCAGCCTTTGACAGTACCTGGGGAAGATAAGCAAGTGTTGTTCATATAAAATAAGTTTGGAAACCGTTAGAACCAGTGAGGGAGGTGCTTGGTTCCCCTTTCTATCTCTTGTATAGTACTTTTGCCCTTTATCTGTGCACAAAACCCTCTGTACATTGAAATATCACAAGGATTAGACCAATAACATCTGGAGGACAATCTGTGCCTACCCCTGCTCTATAGAAAGAAACACATGTTTCTCTTTTAAGTGAAGAATAAAATGATGCTTCTTCCTATTCTATGTACCTAAGCCAAATGAGCTGGTAGTTACAATTTTCTTCAACACTGACAGTGGGAAATCATGCCCCACAACATCTGGGGATGACAGGCTAGCTTAGAGGAGACACAATAAACTGCATGACAAACCTCTATCTCCTCCAGCACCTGCTGACTATGGTAACCATCTCACTCTAATGATAGGACCCACCATGAGCCTTAGGACGAGATTATGGTATCATGTTTCTGGGATGATGAGTAACAATTATAAAGTAAGTCACAATTAGAGTAGGTCCATTTGAATGAACGGAGTCCTGAATGCCAGGACTTTTAATGTGTAAAGAAAGAACTAACCACCTCTTAAAATGGATGGAACCCTGGAAAGGTCTAGCTTCCAGTCACATGAAGAACTGGTTTACTTGGAAGTCATTTAATACAGTAAGCTATGGGTCAGAGTTGGCAGAACTGGGGTTTTGCTCTGACACAGAACAGGAAAATTCACATGTTACGACAGTTTACTCAATGTCCTTCAACATGTACTATGGGAGACTTGATGTTAGCTGCCCCCAGTTGATATCTGTTTAATTCTTTTTTAATATAATAATTTATTCTTCTAGCTTTTAACTTTTTTTTAAAATACTGTACGCCACCTTGCATCCTTTATTTAGGGGAAAGGTGGCATATAAATATTTTAAATAAATGAACAATAAAAGTGCTCTCAACGTTGCCTGTTACTGGGCAAACACTACCTGATGGTGACACTTGTGACACGAACAAAGGAAACAGGCAAGGGAGGAAGGTATTTGTGGGATTTTACCTCTTAGATGTCCAAATCATGTGACTAGCTTTGGGTACTAGGTAGTACCTTGAGCAGTGCCAGAGAAGCTTCATGGAGCGAAATCTCATGAGCAAGCCCTGGTGGCCTATTTGCTTCTATATTCCAAAGTGCTTCATCAAAATTATAAAGAAAAAGAAAATATTTTTATTAAAGTGTATGAATGTCAGAAATTAATACAATAAGCAAATAAAACAAAATACTAACTTCACCAAGGGTTGCGTTTTTCCGGTCCTGAAAGAGCCCATTTGCTTTCTCACCTGCTCCCCATTGCTAAGAGCCAGGGTAGTGCAGTGAACGGAGTGATGGATTAGGAATCCAGAGACCTGAGTTCGAATTCCTACTCAGCCACAAAAACTCAATGTTAAACCCACTCTGGAAATAATTCAATACCTTAAAAAGTCTTAGGAGGGTTGCCATAAGGCAGATGTGACTTGACAGCCTATAAGGCACGCATACCCTCGCCTTTTGTTAAGCTCTTTCAAACGATCCTCGCACAGGCACTGAACGGTTTGCTCACTTTAGGTGAGATTCCACGACCAGTTCTGCACGCACGGCCATTTCAACTGGACCCTACCAGAGCTTCTGCCCCGCTATAAAGAAAGAGGCGCCAAGGAGAGCGAACGGGATTTTCCCTGCCCTTCAAACAATATGGATTCCATATAATTACGACGACTGGAAACGGTGGTGAGCAGTCACGTGACTTCCCTTCTCCGTTCCCCAACTCGCCAGAAGTGTCCACGCACCTGTGGTAAACCTCTTGGGCGTTGTGTGTGGGAGGGCGAGGGTCGTCTCTTCTAAGGGAGAAGGGAAGGTCGGTCTGCAGGGCTGCCGGTTGGCCGCCGAGGGAGAAAGGTCGCCTTCAGCACTGCGCGGGAGAAAAGCTGTCCAACGAAAGTCTGAAAAGTCCCGGGCGCTGCAGTGCAGTGAGAGGCGCGCGGGTGGCAGTCGCCTGACAGGATCAGACACGCAAGGGGGGGGGGACGAACAACAACCCCCAAACAGCTAAACGAATTGATTTTCGCAAACAATCCGGCTTTGCTTTCATCGCCGTTCGGATTTGTCCTGATAACTAACCTACATTTTGAAGAAGCGACTACTGCTATCTTAGGTTATGGAGGAACAGAATAGTTTCCAGCAGGATTCATTTTATCTCCCAGTCGGTTTGTATGCCAGTCATATCATACAGACAGCTAGCTGGATTACATTTAAGCAGAATGGTGAAGAAAGCCCTCTCATTTGACATTTGGTATTGGCGGAGAGCTTTATGGAGCTCAAGGAACAACCAGAAACACAAATATATAGGGTTTTAAATCCAACTAAGTCTGAACTTTCACTAGAATCTAAAGTGACTAAACGGCGCCGCCCTGCTTTGAACACAACATGAGAAGATAAGATTCATGGTGTGTGTGTGTGTGTGTGGGGGGGGGGAAGGGTACAGTGCTGCCTGGAAAATTGGAAAGCATAGGAAAAGGGAAAGAGGTAACATGAGATAGAGTGACTCAAGAAAAGAAACCATGGTCTTTAGCTTATAAGACCTGAGCAGAGGTGTTAATGACAGAAACCTGCAAGATCCATTATTCATGTAGTTGCCATAAATCAGAAATGACTTGATGGCATGTTGCAAGAAATATTTTCTGTGAGATGATTTCCCAGAGTCTTCTGCTGCCCCTGAGAAAAAAGAAATTATACTGGAAGTGGGTCACTAGCAGGAGATTTCTGGAGGCCTTATTCACTTACCTTCATCCACTCAGCTCTCTGCTTCTCCCAGCTTCTTCTGGTCAGACACCTCAGCCCCAAGTAAATAAATTTCCCTTCTACACCCAGCCTTGTCTTTATTGCACTAGACACATAGTACAGCGAATTTATAAGGAAATAGTCCCATGCATAACACTTAGGGCAATGCACTGAATAACTCTCACACTGCCGCTGCTCTTCAACCTTCAAAACAGGAAGGTGAGTCAAATCACAGCGCAGTGATTTTATAAGGAAATAGTCCCATGCATGACACTTAAGGCAATGCACTGAATACCTCTCACACTCTCAAAAGTGGTGGTTCTGCTGCATGGAGAGGATGGGAAATTTTCATAGGTTACAGAGAGAAGGTGGAACTGCTCAGCACCTATTGCTTCTGTGTTCTCTTGAAACTTTGCACAAGTAAAATGAAAAAAGCTCTTGCCCAAGGCAGGGAAAGGGGAACACTTAGATAACGCCTAGATAATTTACATGAATTAAAGGCACCAGGACCGGTTAAGCCAGTGGTTCTTAACCTTGGTTACTCAGGTTTTTGTGAACTGCAACTCCCAGAAACCCCAGCCAACACAGCTGATGGTGAAGGCTTCTGGAAGTTGCAGTCCAAAAACACCTGAGTAACCCAAGGTTGAGAACCACTGGGTTAAGCTATGTCCAATGGTACTGAAAGAATGCAAAGGTGTAATCTCATATCCTCTTATCTGAGGATTCATGGAGAACAAGTGCCGTTCCTGAATAATGGAGGGAATCAAATACTATCTCCACCTTCAAAAAGGTGAAAAAAGGCTCTGGGCAACTAGCAGTGGGTCAATGACCCTGATAACAGGAAAGGTTCCAAAGCAGATAATGCAGGAATTGCTTTGTGAGCATTTAGGAAAAAACATAGAGATTGTTAAGAAGCAGCAAGAGGTTTTCAAAAGCTAGTCATGATAGATTAATCTTAGCTCTTTTTCTGCTACAATAACAAGCTTGATAGATCAGAGGAATGCTGTGAATGTGTCGTATCTTGAATTCAGCAAGGCTTTGGACAAATTCCTCTGTAATATTCTTGATTCCTAGCTGATACCTCACTGTACAGCACTGGCTCGCACATCACTGCAATATCACTTATAGCTCAGTAGTTTAGTATCTGACTGAAGAGCCAGCGGTTGGGAGCTCAATTCCCCACTGTGAGCCAGCCTATGTGGCCTTGGGCAAGCTGCACAGTCCCAGGGCTCCCCCAGAAGAAGGGAAGAGTACACCACTTCTATGTATGCTGTACCTGATATTCTGTTTTTTGTAGCTCTGATGGTGTTGTTGCAATTGTTAGCTGCTATTCTGCTGGGCAGCTTTGTAGTGGGTTTACAAGCCATAGTCAAAGACTGCTCACCATTGGTGACTTCTGACAAGTGGGGTACTTGTCTATTCTGGGATTGGTATTGTGTAAATCATCAAATCTGCATCAGAGGAAACTGGGAGATGTCATTAATAATCTAGAAGGTAGGATCTGAATTGAAATTCACATTAACTGGTCAGAGAATTAGAACAAAACAAACTAAAGAAGAGAGAAATACAAACTTCGTGTAATCTGCAAGAAGTGCGACGTGGCGACAACAACAACAAAAGGCTAACGGTATACTAGGCTGCATGAAGCACAAGATTCAGATCAAGTCACAGTACTAGTAGATTTTGTTTTGCTCAGACATCACCTGTGCACCTGTATCCAGTTCTGGGTACCATAGTTCAAGAAAAATATTGACAACCTAGAATGTGACCCCCTAGAATGAGAGTTCCAGAAAAATATCTACTTCTGCTTCATTGACTATGCAAAACCCTTTGACTGTGTGGACTACAGCAAACTATGGCAAGTTCTTAAAGAAATGGGAGTGCCTGACCAAATATATACACCCTGAGAAACCTATACGTGGGACAGGAAGCAACAGTTAGAACTGGGTATGGAACAACTGATTGGTTCAAAATTGGGAAAGGAGTACGACAAGGCTGTATATTGTCTCCCTGCTTATTCAACTTATATGCAGAATACATCATGCGGAAGGCTGGACTGGAGGAATCCCAAGCTGGAATTAAGATTGCCGGAAGAAACATCAACAACCTCAGATATGCAGATGATACCACTCTGATGGCAGAACGTGAGGAGGAATTAAAGAACCTTGTAATGAGGGTGAAAGAGGAGAGTGCAAAAAACGGTCTGAAACTCAACATCAAAAAAACTAAGATCATGGCCACTGGTCCCATCACCTCCTGGGAAATAGAAGGGGAAGATATGGAGGCAGTGACAGATTTTACCTTCTTGGGCTTCATGATTACTGCAGATGGAGACAGCAGCCACGAAATTAAAAGACGCCTGCTTCTTGGGAGGAAAGCAATGACAAATCTTGACATCATCTTAAAAAGCAGAGACATCACCTTGCCAACAAAAGTCCGAATAGTCAAAGCTATGGTTTTTCCTGTCGTGATGTATGGAAGTGAGAGCTGGACCATAAAGAAAGCAGACCGCCGACGAATTGATGCCTTTGAATTGTGGTGCTGGAGGAGACTCTTGAGAATCCCCTGGACTGCAAGGAGAACAAACCTATCAGTACTAAAAGAAATCAACCCTGAGTGCTCACTGGAAGGACAGATCCTGAAGCTGAGGCTCCAGTACTTTGGCCATCTAATGAGAAGAAAAGACTCCCTGGAAAAGACCCTGATGTTGGGAAAGTGTGATGGAAAGAGGAGAAGGGGACGACCGAGGATGAACGACTAAACAACAGAATGTGCCCATAGGAGGATAACCAAGACGATAAAACGTCTGGAAAGCATGAGAGTTGAAAGAGCTTGGTATGTTTAGCCTGGAGATTACTGACAGGTGTTTCATGTATTTGAGGTTCATGTGAAAGATAAGGCAAACTTGTTTTCTGTGGCTGGCATAGGACCCAAACGAATGGATTCAAATGACAAGAAAAGAGATTTAGAATTAACCAGAATGGGAAACCCCATAGATATCCTGTCTCCTGGTCTTCATTCACTCTGAACTGCAGCCTCTCTTTAGACTCAGAATCTACTTGGACTAGGAGGCACTGCCCCCAACTAGTTCAGTGACTCAGCTCAAACTACAGAAAGCCTCTGTCTACAGAGCCATCTGCCAGAGCCCATGGCAGCAGCCAAGAGGAGCAGTCATCAACCCCGAAAGCACCAAGCAGCCTCTGGCAACAACAACAACAAAGCCAAACTTACTCTGCTCTTGTCCAACTCCTCGTCCACCACTCCCTCTTTGCTACCCCTATCTACTCACCTTTGGATCCACTGCCTAAATTCAAAACCCCACACTATATAAGATCAAGACTTTGGCTCTTGTTATTGATTTCATGCCTTCTGTTTATTTCAGACATTTATAAATCAAATAAGGAGTAATCATTAACTCCTGACATTATTATTAGAATTCAAGTGTTTGAACAGTGATGGCTCGTCCCTGTTGTGGTTCAGAGAGCAGAAACCACAGCAGCCAATGGCAGGTGGAGGCAGGGTGAGAGGAAGAGCCAGGGCTGGCTGGAGGCGTCTTCTGGTGGAGGTGTTCTAATGCAGTGGTTCCTAACCTTGGGTAGACATGTAAAATTTCCAAAAATTCCTTTTTTAACCCCCCCTGGGGTTTTCCCAGAAAAAAGGGGGGTGAAACGACTTGTTTTTCAGGGGAAAATGGAATTTTTTGGAACTTTTCCATCTCTAACCGTGGCTAACCCAGGTGTTCTTGCGCTGCAATTCCCAGAAACCCCAGCCAGCGCATCTGGTGATAAAGGCTTCTGAGAATGGCAGTCCAGGGACACCTGGGTTACCCAAGGTTGGGAACCACTGCTTTAATGGACCAGCCACCACAGAATCTGATCAAGAGGACAACAGCTGTGCAATTTGATTCTATACCATTTGTAGGTATATTTCTGAGGTTGAGAATCCCAGGTATTTTAAAAAGTTCCTTTGATCTTATACATGGAGTAATCACTCACTCACTCACTCACTCACATACATACATGCATAAATGCTGCATCACAGAAAGACAAAATACATAAATTTGCATAAAGATGCTAATATATGTGTACATATGTAAAATTGGAAATAATTTTTTTAACATTTGGGAATTGCAGTACATCTAACCTGAGTGGGGAAGGCTGTAGCCAAGTGCATGCTGAGTGTCCTGTCCAGGTACCCATTATGGATGGACAACTTCAAGGTCCTTGATCTCCCCACCCCACCCAGTTCTATACAGATCATGTGTATTTGCATTGTTGTTGTGTGCCATCAATTGGAACTGATCTATAGCGACCCAATAAAGATTTCAAGGTGATATATTTAAGGAGTTGTTTTACCAGTTCCAGTGAGCTTTCATGGCTGAGTAAGGATCTGAATCCAGGGCTCCTGAATCCTAGTCCATTACTCTATCCACTACATCATACTGAGAATCATGTATTTGCATTATGTCCTTTGATTTTGCATAGTTTATTCAGAGTTTGCCCATCACAAACAGGATATTAATGTTGGAGATCACCCTACTTTTCTGCTCTGATCCCACTCGCAAATTTTATTCCGCTTCACGTCAGCTGAGATATCAGGAAGCATGGCACAGACATTTTGAGCATAAGTTCACCATCGTAACAGCTAGTCTGATACTGGCTTTTTCTAAAAGAAAGCAAAGGCTCCAACAACAGCCTAGGTTCTCCCACCACCTGGGGCACAGGCAAATATCCTGGGGAATCCTACCCACACTACCAAAGAACATCAGGCCTGGCTAACTCTAGGGAGCAGCATCCCAGGCATATTTCCGCTTTGGTACCACAGCAGAAGGACAACCTTCTCGGCTGCAGCAAACTCAAGGACCTTCCTAATACAATAGTTCCCAACCTTGGGGTCCCAGATGTCCTTGAACTAAAACTCTCAGAAGCCATTATTAGCTGTGCTGGCCAGGATCTCTGGGAATCGCAGTCCAATAACATCTGAAGACCCAAGGTTGGGAACCGCTGTCCAAATGGACTGGTTATTATTGGCAGGTGCCTCTTGCTGCCCAATGGGAAGGAGGCCCCTGCAACAAAACAATTGCTGGGAAACTGAGTCATACAACAGCAACTTTTCTGGACTCCTGTGGCATTAAGAAGTTGGAATGACAGCACTGCCTTAAATAATTGGCAAAAATCCTGTAAATTGAACTGGAGTAGGCTGATTGAAACAATGGAACTTATGGAGTTCACTCATGAAATCTCCATGGATTCAATGCATCTACTCTAGTGCAATTTATTATGTGAAATAATAGGATTTTTGGCCATTGCATGATAGTTATATGATCAACAGTAGTCATTGAATAGCACTTCCGTATTCTCGGTATTTCCTTATCTCTGCTCCCTGCATGTCTCTGAAAATATCAACATGCATGCAGAACATGCATGCTGATGCTATGCACAACCTCTGGCATAGCACTCAGTTGCTTGATAATCTTAACCTTCATTTAATGAAGAACAAGGCAAATAACACACATAGTTGTATATATGAAAATCCCTGCAAAAACCTGGAAATTGGAGAGGACTGTTGAAAGCTACTCACGCAACTGCCACAGAGCATAGAATCCAGCTCTTATAACTGCTTTTCTAAAATACACACATATTTGTGACAGAGTATCAAAAACTGATCTGCTTTGTGTCCAGTGAAAATGTGAATTGACCACACAAGTTTCTAGGCCTAATGAAAAAATACTGAAAAGGCACAGATAGCATCTGCTTCTAAGCTCAAAGGTCAGTTTTGAAGAGTTCAGATGTAACACCCACAAATGTTTCCCTTTTGTGTTCATTGTCTCCCTGTTCCAGACCTAGAAACAAAGTTTATAATGTTAATTTTTAAAAGTCTTAGTTTGATTCATTAGTAAGGTGAAAATCCACTTGTGTTAAAATGTGGTAGGGTAAACCTTTAATCTGTTACATTATCTGAATTGTTATAAAACAACAGACTCCTGATCAACAACCTGAACAGGTCAGGAGACCAATTTATGTCATGCAGGAGAATCCATGTGGTTCTTTGGCATTCACAGGCACGGGCAAATGTTCTCATAAAATCTAGCTAGCAGGAAGATGAACTCAACTTGTATGCAGTGGACATATTCCAAGATCACGCCTCCATGTGCTTAAACAACACTCCTACCCTCACATGGTTATATCACTACGCACTTAGTAATGTTCTTTCTTCTCCCCTTTCTTCCAGGCTTCACCATTTGTCCCCTTAGTTGTTTCCCTCCCAGAGTCAGAAGGTCGCCTGTCATTTGTTCTCCACTCTCCTACCAGGAAGCGGCTTACTTCTCAGCCCCTGTGCTGCCCCCCTCCATGCTGCCAGTGGACACCTCCTCCCCAATGGAGAGGGTGTGAGCATTTGAACCCTGTGACATTCACCCTCCTCCGCCATTTAGGGAGAAAGCACAACGGCAAGAAGTCAAGATTTACAAATGTGCTGCCAATTATTGCAAACCCTTGCCAAGTCAGGAATCAAAGTTAATGTTGCTGACTAATTATTATTGCAATTGGTTCAGTTTTACCAGCTCATGATTTCCAAGTTCTGCTCACCAAACAAACACATTTTCAAACAACAAAACTGTCTATTTTTACACAATAAATCTATACCTTTTTGGCATATCTATGCAGCCCAGACTAGGCCTTGAGAAATAGCTTTTAATTCAGTTATCTTCACTTTACCACCATTCTACATGTGCGGCCATGACCCGCTGCAGGACATAGCAACTTCCAGAGGACCATGTACAACAGGCCACAAACAGAATCAGATTTAAACATTTAGTGTCTCTCACTACTTGTACTCACATTTTCTTGCAAGGCCTAAGTTGTATCCTACAAATGTATTTTCATACTAGTGGCACAACACCCTCCCCCTGATGAATTTATTGCTAGAAACAGCATTAGGGTATTTACTAAAAAATCTCTTCTTCCATCTTTACATACTGAAGTTTTTCCAAGCTGGAGCCCTCCAGATGTTCTGAACTATAATTCCCATATTTCTTGACCAACGTTGAATTGGGCTAATGGGAATTACAGCTGAACACTTACTTGTGCAGGACACCAGGTGTGTGTATGGAGGGGGAGAGAGAGCATATATTTTTCAGAACTAAAGTTCACACTAGTGATAAACCTATCATCTCAGTCACTTGTGCACCCAGCAGCTGCCCAACTCCATCCCAATTAAGAACACTGTCAACAAAGAACAGCCATGTTCTTTTTGATCTTGAGTCATGGCTATCAAGGAAATATAGATTTAATCCTCATTTTCATCATGACACATTCATATGCATTACACTCTAAGCATAGAAGCTGCAGATGGTCAAATAACACCTTCGGTGCTCTGTTCCATTCTAAACGGCCCGGAGCTCCCTGAGTTCCTATAATAAAAAATCTCAGAGGTTGAGCCTTTGGCTTTGTGCCTGGCAGGCACCAGTGAAAAGGAAGAGGAAGCTTGAGCTTGGGATCATCTGGATGCAACACAGAGTCCTCCAGGAGAATCAGTCTGTCAGTGGCAATGGAAGCCAGGCAGATATCTGCACTGCACAGAAAGTCACTATTGCAGTGGATCCAGCACTCTCTTATGTGTTCAAAAACCACATTCTATGTGTCAGAAGTAAGAGGCCATTTCCCCCTTTCATTCTTTGGCTACTTTGCGCTGCAACTGGTGTTTCTGCAGTAGCGCCAAGGTATCTCGCTTCTCGATGCGCCGCAACTGCTTCTTCTTGGCACGCTTCAGTTTCACTGGATTACGGATCTGGAAGAAGAAAATGAAAAAAGATGATATGTATGTAAGCCTGAAGGGCTTTCTGAGAAATGCTCAATAGCTGCACAGAGGCTTCAGAAACTCTGAACACCTGCCAGAGTGCATATGAATATTATCTTGAAAAGCCTTTAGCTACAGAAGCAAAACCTGGAGGGAGGAAGGGAGGAAAAGAGATTAGGTTGTAGGCTAGCAAGACTATGGACTAGGAAGGAAAGGAAGCAGAATAATCTCCTGCTTTTCTAAGAAATCACAATCTTCAGGTTGGCCTCTCCATCAAATGTCACCTGGCAGCAACCATCACATTACGCTGTAACATCTCTGGCTGTTTCATCAGCTTAGCTAAGAGACCAACTGTGCTTCCTCATCGGTTCTTTCAACTGTTTTCCATTCCTGGATGGTCATTATAAAAATCCTGGCCTAAACCCACTTCTTAGCCCCAATGAAACAATGAGTCAATGCCTACATCAGTCCCACTAATTCATGGTGATCTAGGCCTTTGTAACTAAGGCCTAATGCCTGTGTTTGCTTCCCCCTTTTATTTCATGTCTTTTAGACCACTGGTTCTTAACCTTGGGTTACTCAGGAGTTTTGGACTGCAACTGCCAGAAGCCTTCACCACCAGCTGTCCTGACTGGGGTTTCTGGGAGTTGCAGTTCAAAAGCATCCGAGTAACAAAGGTTAAGAACCAGTGTTTTAGACTGTCAGCCTGCAAGCTGCCCTAGGAGTAGAGACGTAAAATTTCCAGAAATTTTGAAGCCATATAAAGCAGCTTTGGAAAAAAACTGAAAAAACTGCTTGCCCCCAATTTTCCTGTCCCCCCCCCGCCTTCCCATCTCTATCTAGGAGCCCTTTCAGTTGAACAGCTGGACAAAAGGGTTCAAAGAAATAGCCACCAGTCTCTGCCAAAAGGTGACCAAAGGAGTCTCTCAGCCACATTCATGTTATTTATATGCAAGTTAGAAAGTATGCAAGACTAAACATTCCAAATTCCAACATATCACAGTGGGGTACAGTGGGGTCTCGACTTACGAACGTAATCTGTATTGGAAGGTGATTCTTAGGTCGAATCTGCATTTCCCATAGGAATGCCTTGAAAACCATTTAATCTGTATCTGCTCTTTTCCGTCCATAGAAACTAATGGGAAGCTGCTATTCCGCCTTCTGCCACTAGAGGGGGATATTTTTTCTTTTTTCCCCTTAGGTTCAGGAAAGGAGGAGGAACGCAGGGAACAGTTTGCAAAGCACTTTAGAAGTATTTTTTTTTCAACGAAGCCAATTTAAAATCATGTTTTAAAGCATGTTGTGCTGATTTTTTCAGCACAAAGACACACAGGCAGGCTTTTTAGGTGCTGAGCAAGCCTCCCCAAGCCTCTTCAGAGCCAGCCGATCAGCTGTTAGGCGGGAAGAGCAGGGGGCAAGAGCAGAGAAAAGCACAAAATGGCTGCCAGGCTCCCTTCTGGGTGTCGGCTTTTAGCTGTTTCCTGCTCTTTTTCCTGCTGTTTGGGGGCTACCAAGGCCTGGTAAGTGACTTTCTTTTATTTATTTTTAAGTTTCTGACACTTTTTGCCCCTCCAGAAGCCTCTAAAGGGAGGGAAGGGGCACTTTTTTTCCTGTACGTAACTCGAGGGAAGTTCATATGTCAAGTCCTTATTTCCCCATAGGGCGGGTTCGTAAGCTGAATTGTTCGCAAGTAGGGTCGTTCATAAGTCGAGACCCCACTGTACCAGTATGCTATCACAGGCGAGGGCTTTTCTCCAAGGGCTCTTGGGGCAGTTAATGTTTGGCACAGCCTCACCTACACTCTGGTATATTCCTTCATAAACTGTATGGGTGGACCACCTATGGCCCTGCAGAAGTCAATGTGACTGCAACTCCCATTACCCTTTATGCTGTGTAGGATGACAGAAGATGAAATTCAATAAACTCTGAAGGACACCCCCACAACATGCACACACACACAATGCTGCCCCAACTGCACAAGATGCACACGCACACACACACACACACTGCTGCCCCAACTGCACAAGATCCCCTCCTTTGGACTTATGATTCTTGGCAGCAAAACCATTATGAGATATAAGGCATTAAGTTGACTGTAAACTGCCCAGAGTGGTCTTGTAGCCAGATGGGCAGTATAGAAATCAAACAAATAAATTAAGTCCTAGCTGTCCAGCAGGGCTTTCTATCATATGTTGGAAATAGCTGTAGGAAGGAGATGGAAAGGAAAGGCCCAGTCCACCAACATGCTAATGGATAAATAAATAAATAAATAAATCCTGTTGCTTAACATATTAGATCACACTGGACTAGGCCCACTGAATCAATGGGGATTTGGCGAGTCCACTTCTCCATACAGTGGTGCCTCACTACACAGTTTTTTTTGCTAGACATTGACTTTTTGCAATCGCTATAACGATTTGCAAAACAGTGATTCCTATGGGGGAATTTCGCTGGACAATGTTTGGTCCCTGTTTCGCAAACCAATTTTCGCTAGACGATTTTGACAGCTCCCTCCGCGCTCGTAAAACGGGTGTTTTTGGGACCTCAGCTTCACAAGACAGCTATTTAAACAGCTGATTGGCGGTTCGCAAAGCGGCTTTCCTATGGCCGATCTTTGCTAGACAACGACGATTCTTCCCCACTGGAATGCCTTAAACAGGTTTCAATGCATTCCAATAGGGAAATGCTTTTCGCTAGACAATGATTTCTCTAAACAGCGATTTCAGTGGAACGGATTAACATCGTCTAGTGAGGCACCACTGTAAATTCAATCTATTCAAAAGGGCCTCACAGTAAGCTCTGACTTACTTTAGTGTAATAAGTCACAATTAGAGTAGGCCTACTTGAATTCATGGAACTTACAGAGGAGTAGGTTCACCAAGTTCCCACTAATACAATGAGCCTGTTCTCATGCAACTTACTATGCTAAGCAACAGGATTTTTGCCACTATCTCTATCAAGAGACTAAACCAGCCACAAAAAATAAGAAATAAAATCAGAAACTGCTCTCTTAGCCTGCAACTCTCTCTGCTCAAAAAGAAGGGTTTCCTGTCACTACCCAAATGAGCTTGGAGCTCCTGTAAGAATGCATCAAATCATATTCTGGGCTTACAACACTCTCAGTGGGTGGGAAATCTGACGGAGTCTAGATTTGTGCCACAGGTAAAAGAAACACAGTTCAGGCAGGTCAACGTGTGTAGCTGGCCCATCAAGCCTCAGTTTAAAATTAACTCATTCTACAACAAGAGAAAGGTTAAGATAAAGTTTGTGTGCCACCAGATTGACCCAGTGGCACACAAGCCACCAGACTGACCTGGCTCTCTGCATCTGCTCAAAACACTCTCCTTAATGAAGGGCAACTAGGAAACATGGCTCACTAAAGCTTAGTGCTGGCCTAAGAGGGTTCCAGAGTACATTTACCAAATGAAGTATGAGGTGAAAAGTGACAGTGCAGTACATTTAGGGCTGCTGATTCTCATCATGACAATCCCCACCTCATACCGCTATCACTTGCTACAAAGGAAATCCAAAATGCAGACAAATGGTTCAGACCCTACCCACAAATAAAGAGCCAGTCTTTTGCAGAGTTAATGCTGCTAATTGCCCATTCAAAGTTAAACCACCCTCAAATACAAAAAAGTATTTGTTGTATTGTTCCCGGGAATTACAGTGAAGGAACAAAGAATGTATTTATTATCATCTTAGAACTACAGAGCTGGAAGGGAACCTATGGATCACTGAGGCCAGCCCCTGTTAAGATAGCACAGCGGGGACTCAGCTTCCCTACCTCTCAGGTTTAGGATTTAGAGGATCAAAATCCCAGCCTCTTTAGATTTAGACGTGTTGCAGATAGTATTACAGACTAAGTATTGCAGACTCTGCTAGTCAAAATGTTCCAGAGCATCAACTCTGAGAGCCCTGGCTCCTCCACATGACTGGATATGAAGAGCCATGATCATCATCATCATCATCATCATCATCATCATCATCATCATCATCATAATGCTTCAGTTCATATGCTTCCACATTTTATTTCAGGAGGAAACAAGAACTTAAGCCAAGACTCACCACTTGTACAATCTCTGCTTTTCGTTCGTTCTCCAGACGTCTTTTTAAATTCTCTTCCCTACGTTTTTTTTTCTCCTGAAGGAAGGAAAAATAACAGTGAGAGCTTTCTCACGTGTTGTTTTAGGAAATATTTACAGAGATTGCAACTGCTTAGACATACAAAGAACATTTAAAAAAAATACCATTACATAAATATGAATTCATGAAAAGAAGAAAGAGGAACATCAATCTCTTTTACCTTTCAGTTCAGTCAGTGTGACCTCCTACATGAATGGTCCAGGAGAATGCCCAGCATGCCACAAGGTTTTTAAAAATGTTATCAGCAATGTTGCTTTGTTAGCCACACTGATATTTGTACTTATTGCTTACTCTTCCTAAGGAACTGAGTGCCCTTTGCCATCAGAGTGTGGCACTATCTCAATAAAAGGCTTTCAAGGTATCAACCCCCAGAAATAGTTTACCATTGCCTTCTTCTGTGTAAGACTGAGGCTGTGTCCCAATTACTATTTATAAAAGATCATCCAGAAGTCTATTACAGTATTGTTGCTATCTAGGATCTGCCCTTCAAAAACTTCACAACACTATCATCATGGGAATTAATACTTTTCCTCTGCTGATACAACTGTTATTTCTTGAAGAATAATTTTAGTCTGATTTCTCAGCTCTGGCCATTCTGTCTTGGGAGAATTCTGACAGCATTGCTCTTTGCTTTTGTAGCATACTTAAGTCGCATGACCACATTGTGGTTTCCATATGAGAGAGGAAAATACTGAGACTAAAAAAAGATGCTTAGTTACTGCACAAGGTACAGCATATTTCTCACCTCACGCTCTCTCTGCTTTTCTTCCTTCAACTGTCGAGCAAAGTCTTTGACTAGTTTCCTTTCTTGGCGTTCTTTCATCTTGCGTTCCCAGGAGGTACGCAAAGGCTTGTCCTGAATCATGTAAGAAAACCTGGTGAGGGAAAAATATCCTAACCAGTTATGAGGCAAATGAGAACTAAACACCAATATAAGAATAATATCACTTTACAGCTGCAAATATATGCACCTTTATTTGAGAATTAATTTGACTGACTCTCATGATAAATAGGCAGAAGTTGGGTACGTTCCTCAAAATTATGCCAATGTCAGAAGACACTATAGTAACCATTCAGTCTAAAGATTGGTGTTTGGCTTTTCAGACTGGTTGGTCTAACAGGGCATTTAAGCAGCTGGAAAAATCTGCTTAAAGACAAAATCTGATCCCGTCTGTGCCAACATGTTTCATAGGACTCTTGCAAATATAAAGTTAGGAGTAGGAGAACCATATATGCCATTTTAAAGTATCTTCAGGAAACCCCAAATGTAGAAGTAACGAAGAAACTAAAAAAATTAATAATACAGGACAAAACTGATTCAGGATACTTAACAAAGGCCAGCCGCTTCTGTAAATCGACGTAATTGATAAACCTCTCACGTTAATAAAACCAAGACGGTCCGGACGCTGCTTTACTGCTCGAAGCTCACAACCCTCTACTACACCGATCACAGACTCGTCCCTCAGTGCCTTGCCAGGACCCGCGGCACTAAAATTAACCTCTTACCGCTGTTTGTTACGATCTTTCCACACCCGCCCGGATTTAGGCTTCCCTTTGGGGATGGAGAGAATCTCCTTTCGCTTCTCGCCCAAAGAAGTCGATCGCGGCTTTCCTGGATCAGGTGTGACCAAAACACCTTCCTCCTCGTTTCCAGACGTCGGTGGCCGACCCTCCTCTGACTCGGGAAGCAAATGATCATTCTGCAGCTCGCTGGCAACAGCACCCACCACCGCCGCCGCCATTCTCCCTACCGGTTTCCCTGTAAGCTCTTCTTTCCTCCACGTGGGGGTGGGTGGAAGGGGATTTCCGGAAGTCGCTATCGGATGACGCAAAATTCGCGTCATAGAACGCATGCGTAGAATGAAGCAAGGCAGGCGGTATGCATTCATGGAGGGTATACATTCGTTATTCGTTGGATCAAGAGGTTACGCTTTGAGTGCACGTGTCACAAAAGTGAAAGAAAAGAGAGAGAACACTTTTGTAGCTCTTTAAAGACAAATATATTTCTTTCTCTAGGAGCTACTGTGGATTATGATCCACTTTCTCGGTAGGGCTTGGAACGGGGTTTATTCTTCATAGATCTCTTCGGGTTTGTACAGTACAGTATTTGGTAGAATTCCTCCTGGGCGTGGCGGCGAGCCATTCATTAGGAGATCCAAGGAAGTGAAACAGGATTGTACCTCCTCTCCCACTTTTGCTTGGTTTTAAAGGCGTTGGGCTCGAATTGAAAGTCATGTTGTTCCGAATGTTGGAAGCAACATCTTTCTGCAAGGTTGGCTCTAACTATTAGCACACCACAAGTACTTATATGTTTGTTCGGCTACTGTAGGAAATATCAAAACATGCACACAAATATACCTAGAGCAGCTATTGACTAAAAGGCTTTTTCTGGGGGAAAATACCACATCACAAGTGAAAAATGTACTCTGTAAGTTCAGGGAGATACTGTATAATTATACTGTCATGTCCGAGATCTGATAAAATACATTAAAAACTTCCAAGATAGCAAGGCACACAGATTCTAATAAACATACAATGCTAGCAATACATTCTTCAGAATGGTATTAATGCAACAGCTTAGAATAAAAGACTGTTTCTCTGCATGATTCAAGTAAGTACGCGTTGAACTCTTTTTACAGCAAGTTACAAAGTCAAAAGTTTCTATCTTAGTATTTTCCTTAGGGGTTTACTGCTAAAAATTGCAAGGAAAAAATAATTTTAAAATTTCCAAAGATAAAAATGCTCATATAATTTCTTGGTGGAGATCCTGTTGCTTAATGCAGTAAGTTGCATTAGAAGCCCACTGGAGCACTGGGGATTTGATGAATCAACTCCATTGATTCAGATAGGCCTACTCTAGCTAAGAAGTGCTTTAGCATAATATATAATACCTAGAATAGGCTTATTTGAATTGTTGGGTGAGCTGCAGCACCAAATTCCCTCTGATTCAGTGGGCCTACTCTAGTGCAACTTCTAATGCAGGATTGCAGCCAATGTCTAGTCAATTATCACGTGCAGATTGGTCAACCCTGCGTTCTTTTTTTAATAACACCAATGCAGTTGGAAGTGTTATCCTACCTGAGCCCAGCAATATTCAAGGAAGAGCTGAGATTTGAACCAGACACTGTCTAGTTCACAGCTCCTTCTCTTACTCCACCAGAGTAGCAGTGTATCTTGGTGATAGGGTCATGCTGACAAATAGGCATCCATACACATTTTAAAGGCTTAACTGTGGCATCCAATTACAGTTACATCAAAGAAGGAAATCTTGAAAATAATGCTAATAACAGTGAAGTTGTCTGTCAAATTTCTCATGGACACAGTGACATGAAAATTGGCAAGTCAAAATCCTTGGGTCCTCAGAGAAAAGGAGTCATATAATATCATGATATTACTTGTAGGAGTGGATGTTGAGCTTCTTATAAAGGCCAAATCTGATGGATAGGCTAATGGACTTATCTAGCATGTGTTTTAGATTTCAACTCCAACAGTTCCCCAACCAGTATAGCTGAAGTCACTGGCTGGGGATAATGGGACTTGTGGTCATCACATCTGGAGGGCTGTAGGGTAGGAAAGGCTTTTAGTTCAGTCACATCTGGAGGGCTGTAGGGTAGGAAAAGCTTTTAGTTCAGTATAGTCTACAGTTCCACTGGCAGTGGCCCTCTGGACAGCTGGTGGTGAAGGCTTCTGGGAGTTGCAGTCCAAAACTCCTGAGTAACCCAAGGTTAAGAACCAGTGGTCTACAGTTCCACTGGCAGTGGCCCTCCCTAGTTTTCATTGGGATCTTTCCACACCTACCTGGGTGTTGAACCTGGAACCCCCTGCATGTACAGCATGTGCTCCCCTGCTGAGCTATGTTCCTTCTGCAATAGTCCATCAGAAGGTGACTATTCTGGGCCCTAACAGTCAAAGCAGTTCCTTTCCCTCCTTTGCCACTGAGTCCTATTCATGTCTGCTGAGAAATATGCCCCACTGTATTTTGTCATGTTTGGGGTCAGGACTGCAGCCTTGCACAGCAATCCCATATACAACTGCTGAAAAGTTAGTCTTATTGAATTTAATGGTACTTTCCTCTAGGGAAGGTTATATAGCATGGTGGTTTTTGGAATCCTGGAGTGAGCTGCAGAATGGAAAAGGTAAAGTCTTCAGTAGGCGGAGAAAAGATTTGTTTGTTTCTCCTCTGGCTACAAACCAGTTCTAAGACAGATACTTTCCTCTGTGAGAACATATAACAGTAACGATTTGTGGAAATGCACTTGTGTGATTGTTAAAAATTCCACATCAGTTCACTCTTCCCCCGATACACAAACAGTTTTCAAAATGGCTATTTAGTTCTAATTGTTTCTTGAAAATTCAAATGCACTTTCAGTTTAAATACAGTGAGTGAGCTGTATCCTGTCACAGGGATTATTATAATATCAATTCCATGAAAATTGTCATGTTGGATGCAGGCCAGTTTGGTTGGCTGTCTCTTTCACAAAGCTAGAGCTTGTCTCTTTCTAGAGAGGCACAAAATGGAAAAGACCAGCAGAATTCAGAAGTGGTTTTTTCTTCCAATCCATCTTGGGCAGGTGAAGAGATGGTGAAAACTTCTCTGCCATGTGGCTTCAAGCAGGCAAACAATTTTGTGCCCCGTACTTCATTCTGCTGCAAGTTGTGTGACAGCCAGAGAAGAGAGAGGCTTCTATTCAATCACATTAACTGAAACAACAAACAAACCACACAACAGAAGACTTTAGCTAGTAATTATACTGCACAGGCTTTATCCACACACATACACACACACCCGCCCAGTTGGAGCCTTTCCCTACTGGTTTATGTACAGGCCAATGAAATCTGAAGAGGAGAGAAGATTTAAGATCTTAAAGATACATGGATAATGAATTTATATCTCAGGTCAGATCTTATTCTGTGAGTTAAAGCCATACAGTCAGAACTGAGGAACAAATCTGGATGAGGTAAAGGAAGCATTAGTTCATAGAAGGGAGTGTGCTTTATAACAAGGAAGGATAGTGCTTTAGAACAAGACATATCAAAGCAGCAGAAATGTGTAAGACAACAAGGAGGGGTTCCTTCCTCACCATCTCTTGATAAGGTTGCTGTCTTCTGTCTTTAAATCCAGTCACCAATGCAGTGACAGCTGCAGACAGTTCAAGGAGTGAAAGGATGATGAAGACTGAGTTCAGACTGTATATTATCAACTGTGAACAAATAAAAGCAAGCATCAATCACATGGGTTGCCATTGATCAAGTCATGGGGAATCAGCCTCTTCTAGCACTTGAAAGAGCATCAGAGCCCATGGCTAAGGAATGCAGCAGGAATTCCTGTTCCATAGCCCTACAGTCCTATACGTTTTTCTAGTTTAGTGATCCAGAGTTGAAGCCTCGTGTTCTGAGATCCTGGAAGCCCAGCAAAATTTTCTGAATTGAAAATTCTTTTTTCTTTGTGATTCTATGGATCTGCAATTTCATATTTGGCAGATCGTCATGATTTACTTATTTATATTTGCATCGCTGTTTTGGCTACCATTTTTTGCAAACCTCAAGAACTCCAATAACCTATCATTCTAAGCCCCTATATCATTAGAACCTTATAACATCAAGATGCTACAATGCCAAATTATAGACTATTATGATCACCAGTAGAGTGTACTATAAGAACTACAAACACCATTTTCATATGAACAACATCTAAACAACTCCATTCAACTCACTGCATCAAATTTTCCTTTTAGTGTACTTCCATGTTAAACTGGCAGACATGAATGAAATACTTCAAAGCTATATTATTATATCACTAATATTGTTCTGAGGCTTAACTGTTTTGATAAAACTACTGCAACTAATGAAACACAAAGATTATTGCACCATTCCCACTTTTCAATTAATGGGACAGTTTGCTCCTTTAGCAGCTGTCAACAGATGTTTTTAAAGAGGCATTACAGCCTGCCAGCTATTTATGAGCTGCTCTTTCTGCTTCCTAAATGTTACAACAGGGATGGGAAACTATGGCCTTCCAGATGTCATTGGAATGCAGCTCACACTAACTTAGGCAGCCTACCCCAGGGTGTGGAATTATTTTGGGAATTGGAGCGCAGTCATATGACGGTTGTTATTGCCCACTCCTGTCCTCCAGTGAGGTAGATTTCTTCCATTTGGTTATATAAGATAGCTTTGCAAAATCTTCAGATGCCTTGAACCTTAGGTGAAGCAGGGCATTTTAAGCAAAATATAGATTTGTACCACATGCATGTGGAGAGGAACTGAGAAAAAGCTTACCTGACTACTAGCAACACAATCTTTGTCAGGATGCTTATCACATGGATTTCCTTTTCTCTTTTCTTGTAAAATCTCAATAACATGGAGGATGACTGCAATCACTGCAGCCACACTGACTAACAAGCCAGCAAAGAAAGAGGCTTTCACCTATATCAGAAAGTTAAATAAAACAAATAGTTCTATTAGACCCCTTGCATTAGCTGAAAAGCAGTCACTTGTTAAAAGTTTCAGAAAATGCTGCCCTGATATTCTTCAATGCAGGATATCTCTCTTGCTCTGGATCAGACCTCTCCAGAGATCTGGGGGCTATACAAGTCGAAAGCTGCACTTTGGAAGGCCACTCTGCAGCCACTGCCCTGAATGTTTTTCTTGCAATATGGGTTATGTGCTGGCAAGTGGGAACCAAACTATAGTAACACTCATAGAGCTTTCAAAGTGAGATATTTTAAGGACTAGCTTTACCAGTTCCACATCCTCATGGAGTTTCCATGGCAGAGTGGGAATTTGAACCCCGGCCTCCTGAGTTATGACTATAACTACATGACTATTCACTACACTACACGGGGTCTCTTTACAATATGGGAGTCTTTTTAAAACTGAGCAAGACCTCTTGTTCCCTCTAGTGGCCAGCTTCTGTTTTAAAAAGATTTGGCACACAGAGCAAAATTATGTTCTTTAGATCAGTAGTTCAAACCTTGGTAACTCAGGTGTTCTTGGACTGTAGTTTACAGAAGCTTTCAGCACCAGCTGTGCTGGCTGGGGTTTCTGGGAGTTGCAGTCCAAGAACACCTGGATTACCTAAGGTTGGGAACCAATGCTCTAGAGAGCCAGTTTCCCCCTCAAAACCATGTTTGAAAATTTAGGCCTGTTGCCCACCCATTAGACTAGTCAGAAAGCTCTGTCAGTTGGTGAATTTCTCCCCCTAAACCTTCTGGGGGGGCACCAAAACCTTTTAAGTAAAACTGGAAGTGACCAGAAAGCTATTTATGGTTTGAAAATACAGTGGTGCCTCGCATTGCGACGTTAATTCGTTCCGCAAAAATCGCTGCAGAACGAAAACGTAGCTATGCGATATTAAAAAGCCCATAGAAACGCATTAAAACACGATTAATGCGTTCCTATGGGCTTAAAACTCACCGTTCAGCTAAGATCCTCCATAGCGCGGCCATTTCTGGTGCCTCTTAAGCGAGGAATCCGGCCCAAAAAACAGCGGCCGGCCGTTTTGTTACTCCATTTCTGTTGCCTCTTAAGCGAGGAATCAGGCCCAAAAAACAGCGGCTGGCCATTTTGAAACCGCTGATCAGCTGTTAAAAAATAACCGCTTTGCGATGATCGGTAAGTGAAACAGGGAACTGATCATCGCAAAGCGAAATTCCCCCATAGGGAACATCGCAAAGCGATCGCTTTTGTGATCGCAAAAAGTTTGTCGCAAAGCGATTTCGTCATAAAACGGAGCGATCGCTATGCAAGGCACCACTGTACCACTTTTGATTTGATATTTTATTTTTGGTGGGCACACCTTTTTTCAAAAGGAGAATCATAGTGGAAGCACAGTTCTTCCATTCTTAGGCACAACCTTTGGAAAGCTTCTCTTTAGCAGACTCAAACATATTCTGGAACTCCTGGGGCCACCAAAATGCTCCAGGGATGCAAGATTTCCTTTCCTGGCTTAGACTTGTTCTCTCTCTTTTTTCTCTTTTGGTTGACAAAAATCTGTAAACTGTTTTGATACTTCTACTTCTGACAGATTGCCCTAAATGCCTCTCAAGTAAGGCCTTTTCACTATCATGCAGATTAGGGATGGGCAATACATGGCCAGCCAGTTTTTAAAAAACCTAAAGTTTTCTTAGTAAGCAATTAAAAGGCATTTTAAATAATTAAAACTGATGGTTGTTGTGGGTTTTCCAGGTTGTTTGTCCGTGTTCTTAAGGTTTTTCTTCCGAACATTTCACCAGTCTCTGTGGCTGGGATCTTCAGAGGACAGGAGTCAACAAAAGTCCGAATAGTCAAAGCTATGGTTTTTCCTGTCGTGATGTATGGAAGTGAGAGCTGGACCATAAAGAAAGCAGACCGCCAAAGAATTGATGCCTCTGAATTGTGGTGCTGGAGGAGGCTCTTGAGAATCCTCTGGACTGCAAGGAGAACAAACCTATCAGTTCTAAAGGAAATCAACCCTGAGTGCTCACTGGAAGGACAGATCCTGAAGCTGAGGCTCCAGTACTTTGGCCATCTAATGAGAAGAAAAGACTCCCTGGAAAAGACCCTGATGTTGGGAAAGTGTGATGGCAAGAGGAGAAGGGGACGACCGAGGATGAGATGGCTGGACAGTGTCTGCGAAGCAACCAACATGAACCTGACACAACTCCGGGAGGCAGTAGAAGACAGGAGGGCCTGGCATGCTCTGGTCCATGGGGTCACGAAGAGTCGGACACGACTAAACGACGATACATTTATTGTTGTTTATTTAGTCATAGTAAGTAGCAACCCCCAATTCCATCTCATTTATACTCTAACATCAGTCTTTATTTAAGCCTCCCTACTCTCTGCATTGTGATAGGGTTCCCTTTTTTTCTGTATGTATGTTCAGGCCAATCTGACCAAACCGAGCCAATTTTCAGGACATACATATTATGCCTATGTGGCCTTTACTATGACAGAGAAATAAATACTTGGAGCAATATTTACTGTACCAGCCATGCATGCTTTCTTTTCTCCATTTCCACCAACAAGGACCCAGAGAACAACAGCTACATTAGAGAGGAAGAAAAAGGAACAGCTGTTAGCCTGAGTTTATTTTTTGCTGTAAAGAAATTGAACTCACTACAATTGTTTTTTTTTATGCTGGGACTCAGAAAAATAATACTGAATTACTCATTTCCTCAGATCCTGATAATCAGTCAGATGCTTTTGTCTGGCAGCTAGTATGTCTTTACTTGATTATAGCAATATGTGAAAAAAAAAACTGTGTATACTGTAACAAGCACACTGTCAACTATAAAGAACATAGAAGTATCTACAGTGGTGCCTCGCTTAACGAGCGCACCGTTTAACAACAAATCCGCATAGTGACGCGTTTTTTGCGATCGCTAATGCGATCGCATTGCGATGATTCCAATGGGTGAAAATCGCATTGCGATGATCGGTAAGCGTTTTGCTTACCGATCTTCGCATTGTGATGTTCTAAAAACTGCTGATCGGTGGTTCCAAAATGGCCGCTGGAATAAAATGGCCACCCGCAGCGTTTTCGCGCCCTGCCCTCACTTACCGAGGCGGTGAAAATCGCAGCTGGATGGGGAATCTTCGCTTACCGTTGAGTTTTCACCCCATAGGAACGCATTAAACGGAGTTCCTATGGGGTTTTACTTTCTGTATAGCTATGTTTCCGGATAGCGACGTTAATCCTGGAACGGATTAACGTCGCTATGCGCGACACCACTGTATTAGCACCACCGCCATATTTGCAACTGAACAAATCTCTGCTTGGCCGCAGGCCGCTTCTAGGCTTCTCTATGGACTTTGTTCTTGACTTCTGTTTCTGAAGCAGCTGCACCTTTAGGACCTGTGTCATTTTATTCCTCTCTTTTTGAACCACTTGAGTAGCCTTGTAGCCAGATGGTCAGTATACAAATTAAATACATTTATATATAAATGTGAGTAAAACGAATGGAGGATATTGAATCACAACAACATTAAGTTTTACTGATTTTACATAAATAGGGCATACCTAGATTTCACAGGGACATCTATGTTCAATCTACAGTGGTGCCTCATTTAATGAGCGCACCGTTTAACGACGAATCCGCATAGCGATCTATTTTTTTAGATCGCTAATGTGATCGCATTGCGATGTTCTGAATAGGCAAAACATCGCATTGCGATGATCGGTAAGCGTTTTGGTAAGCGTTTATAGGTAATTATAACCGCCGCTGATCGGCGGTTCCAAAATGGCCGCCGCAAGTGTTTTCGCGCCCTGCCCTCGCTTACCGAGGGCGTGAAAATGGCGGTGCTATGGAGGAACTTCGCTGAACGGTGAGTTTGGGCCCCATAGGAATGCATTAAACGAAGTTTAATGCGTTCCTATGGGTTTTTCCGTTCCGTTTAGCGATGTTTCTGCATAGCGACGATTAATCCGGAACGGATTAACGTCGCTATGCGGAGCACCACTGTATCTGTGTTCAGTTAGTTTTACCAAAGGCTGAAGAGATCTCTGGAGTTTGGATCCCCATCGTTCCCACTGCTAGGCTTCTCTATCTGTGCCTGAAACTAGAGAAAGACCATGGAGAATCTTCTAGAATACTCCTCCCCAACCTGCTGCCCTCAGATGGTTTTTTAGAACATCAGCTCCCACAATCCTTTCTAGGCCCTTCTGAGTGTTGGGATGCTCTTTGTGACGGGTGGGCAAACTTGAAAGTCTGGAGGGGGGATTCCAAGAAAAAGAACTCCCCAGGGGAAACTAAGAGATCACTTTTGATTTGTAATAATCACTATAGCAAAAATATTAGGATTTTTTTTTTGCTAAAACAAGATGAAGGAACACCCCTTGTTTTAAAGGGAAATCACCATGTTTGCTATGGCTAACGGTAGCTGCGGCCTAACCATGGACTGACAAATTACTTCCCAGCCCTCTTGAACTGTTTGTTTACCAAGATCCCAATCCAGAAGTAGACTGCACTCTTCACAGTGAAGCTCTTAAAGTTCTTTTGTGCTTCTGTCAGAGCAATGCCAAAGCATATCTGTATAGCCCCCAACACAATCTGCACAACCTGCAAGGGAAAATAAAAGAGAATTTTGGATTGGTATTATGATGATGGTGGTGATGATGCATTATTGCTGCCATCACTGGCTTCACCACTCTCCTCCTGATACACCTCAACCATGGTTCTATCACTTCATCTCCCGCTGTCATCCATCTTGCTGCAAACACTTCCTTCACCCCTGCTAAATTCGGTGTCATTTACTCTGCCATTCTTCTCATGGCCATCAACTGCATTTCTATTGTCATCATGACCCACTGTGGCTGTTTCTCTAAACCATGCTTGGCTTGGGTCAGGGTGGATAAAAAATATTTTTTTAAAAAATCAAATTGATTTACATCATGATTTACATCTAAATATTTGGTTTTTAACATTAAAATTGCCAAAAAAACCCATTTCTTTTATTTAAATCATTATTTAAACTATAATTTAAATCAAATCCACCCTGGCGTGGGCTAATATTTTCATCACGACCATCTTCTGAGAGCTACACACGTTCGTCATCATAACAGTTATTCCAGCCAACTTATCAGAATGTTTCATATCATAACCTTAACTTCTGAAGGACCTAGGCAATTATAATTATTTTTCAAAAATGCTTTCGCTATGTTCAATAGTTGTCTAAGTTTCTTGGATGGATCAGATCCAGGATCTTCCTTCCATGGGTGGAAGGTGCTTTTGTCTAATTTTCAAAATGGCCCTCTGTCCCCATATTAAAATTCACCTCATTCCTCAGAACACACTCCACCCTCTGTGATGCATTTCCAAGAGGCTAGCGGAGCTGCCATAGGGTGGGAGAAATGTCATGTGCAGTTTGTTCATGGTCCAGCACCATCTGGGATACTATTAAGAGCCACTTTAATTTGGTGCCAGGGACAGAATATGACACCATTCTATCATTCATTTCGTGCTGAGAATTTGACTTAGCCTGTTAAAACATTCCATAAGGTAGAGACTGTTTACAGGGTTTGAGCCTGTTTTGGCCTTACCCCGAGTGCCTTTGGCAGCGTATTCAGCCTTTGGCTCTGCGATGGCTTGAGCTGTGATGCAATGGATGTATTCCCAAGCACACTAGCAACAGCCTGCGGATCTGTTTGTTGGACGACTTGTGTGATGATCCTTACATTTTCATGGTCTGTCACACTGGTGGCCATTTCTGGAGATAAGAGAAGAAACAAGCATAGCTGGCGGGAGAAGAGGAGAGTAAGGGAAAGCCAGGTTCCAGGCATGCACGCCATTCCCTTATGTATGTGCAGCTGTGCACAAACAGGCTCTCTCACTGGCATACACAGAACATTTCCCAAAAAGCAAGGACAAAATCACACTACATTTGTAATCACAGTACAGTACCTGTGTTTTCTCGGCTCATTATTGAAGGACATCTATATAAACACCTGCTACTTTTTGTTAATGGCCACTGTAATGGTGATTATCAGTGTTTGTGCTTTTTGCATTTTGGTTTCCTTTGGCCCCACAAATTTCACCTTATATTCACTCACTGAACCACCCAAGCACATGTATAATAATCTGGCAGCTGAAGCAACACTCTGTGCCTCTGAGGATGTGAACTGTAACAAGGTTTTGTGGAAAACCTTGTGTCAGCTAAAACTTTGGTGCTACATTTTGGTATATACAAAAGACAGAACAAGTCTATACGGAAGCCGTAGAACTCTCTAAAGAGAAACTCCATTTTGTGAAGTGTGCGTCTCCAGGGCTAAGCAGGTCAAGTTTCTACAGAAACAATGGCCTGAGATGAATGAGATGTGCAGTGGTACACACTGGGCAATTGCTCCTACTTCAGTGGAAGAGGCTGAACAATCCTGGTATTTCATGCCAAAATGTATCATATTGTCTGGCACCTACTGGCCTCCCTTCTCTAGTTTCTTCCCTCTCAACTTTGTTCTTGGCTTCTTTCTCTGAAGCAGCTACATCTTTTAGGGCTTGTTTCTTGAAAGCCGTTTTTCATCAGATGCTGAAGAGAACTCTAGATCTGGCAAACTGTTTCTAAAGCTCCACCCATCATATTATCCCACGCTCCCTTACAAAGATGCTTTCCAACCACAAGATCCCTCAATGGAAGTTCTAGGGGCTGCACTGTGTGCTTTGTTACATGGAGTAGAATCTTAGGGTGACCTTAATAGGATTATCAAGGGATATGAGAAATCTATATAATGATTTTACCACTGCTGCTCTCCACTGAATTTCCATAGTTGAAGAGGGATTTGAACTCAGGTGTTCTGGATCTTAATCCATCAAAATATCCTCTACACACCACACTGACTCTCCTGGGCTCGAATGGAATAGGGAATAAGTGGCCCTGCATATGTTGCTGGACTATAATTCATAACAGACTTATGCAACAGAGGTGATGATGGAATTGCAATACAACATTTGGAGAGCTACACGCTTGCCATCCATGGGGCTGCCCCTCCTGCCTCCACACCTGGAGCTCCTGCCTACTGTCAAATGTAGACTCCAGAAGATGTGACTGAAGTCACTTCTCTTTCCCTGCTAAACCCCAAGCTGCTGTCTGAGGTTAGTGCCAGGCTCCATAGTTATTTACTGTAGTTCTTCACTTTTGGAGGTAAATAATCCTAGCCAATTGCTACAGGTTGTACGTAGATTGCCCAGCTTGTACTGATGTTGTCGCAATGACCTCTGATTAAGCTGGGGCAGCAACTTATTATGAAAGATCAGCAAGTCTGCTAAAGCAAAGAGAGAGAGAGAGAAAACAGGATATGTGGAAAGGGATGTAGCAGAACCAAATGCAAAAGAAAAAAGAGAAGCTAACTGCACCATTTGTGAGAGGTAATTTTTTTTTTAAAAAAACTTTCTGTTCCACCAGTGTATTGATGGGGATCCATCTTCTCACATTCAAAATGTACTTTTTAAATGCCACAAAATGTCTTGTGGCACCATAAAACTTAACCAGTTTTATTAGTGCAAGTTTTCATGGTATTCACCTATTAGTTCATTTAATAATAGCTAGGTTATCCTTCAGAGGCGCAATCTGATGGAATTTAGGTTTCTAAGGCCTAAATTACACATGAATGTAACTACATAATTCTGCCTTTGAGTGCAAAATGCTTTTTAATAGGGCCCACAAAGCAATGTTTACAGTCAGTCTCATCTCTTTCCACATGAGCCCCTTCGTCTCTTTTTATCTTTTTAAAAGAGGGTACATCCCACTTTTGGTACTAACCCCCAGCTGGGGCTTTGCATGACCAACCTACTGAAGACCAATGATCCAAAACAGGCAGGGGGGAAGGTGTGGCCGCCCAAATAGCATTGAGCTGCAGTCCCCCCCTCCCAGTGCTTCACCACTGACTGTACTGGCAGGGACGGATGTCTCGCGTGCCCCCCCCTCCAATACCAGATGACACACAAAGAGATAGTAAGAAGGTCATTGGCTAGGAAAAGGATGAAACCATGCGGAGAATCAATGCTGAAGCAAAAATGCGCACACAGTGGGACAGCAAACTATTAAAAGATACAAACGGATTTAAAATTCCCCAACTGTTCCAAGGGAATCCCTGATGGGGCAGGGAGATCGGGAGGCTTCCGAGCCAGGCATCACATTGCTGAGGGCGTCATTTATTTTCCAAGGGACCCCCACAGCCACCCCCACCCCCACCCGTCGCCCCTTCCTGCCTTGTATTCACAGCGCTGCTTCGGGTTGCCCACCCGCCGTCCCTCCCTGCGAATTAGCTGTTCCCTCGGCGCGCGAAGGCACGCGAGCCAAGGAGAGACCCACGCGGCGTGTCGCCCCCCTCCCCGGCCATGAAGCCCGGCTACCTTCCCGCTAGCCGGTGGGGCTTCCGCAGGCAGTTCCAGCAGAGGCGATTCCCCCGCGTCCCTGGCGGCCGTCGCTCCTTCTCCCGAGCGTGACTTTCGTGGGCTTAAGCCTCGGTCTTCCGGGAAGCTCCGGGCTGGAGCCCCGCAGGGGGCGGGCTAGGAAAACGGAGAGCAGGTAGGGGGGGGCGCGGTTGGGTGCGTGGCTGAGAGAGGATCGTTTTCACGCGATGGCTGGAGGGCGGGGTAATAGTGTAGTTGCGAACCGGGGAAGGCTTGCTCCCTGTGCTAACTCTTAACACTTTTTTTGTCTCTTTGCCAGGAATTGCTCAATTGTCAAAACACCCCACTTGGAATAAAAGCATAGGTCGGGGATGGGAAGGAGGGCCAACCCTTGCAGTGAGGGCCAAGAAGACTGTTCTTACAAACACACTCTCATATAGAGTGTTAGAGAATTCAAATGAGTTTTCATTTATTGTTTCAAAAACCTTTATAACAGCCCTGTAAAATGTAAGGAAGGTAAACAGATTGTCATGATCTACCCTGATCCTTATTGATTAGTCACACACTACAGCCTAAATATTTGTATTGTTACTATTATTAGTACTTTGGGAACAATTATATGAGCATAAAGATTTTTGTTAAAAAATCACTTTTCACCCTAGAAACTAAACATTGAAACAGTGGGTTTATTCAGAATAACTTCTTGTTCTACATCAAACTCTAGTAACTAGAATGGCACAGATTTACGAAAGCAGGAGCACTCTTGTTTCAGAAACATATTACTGTAGTTATTCATTGCCTTATGTGTTTGTATGTAGTATTAGTATTTAGTATACAGTATTACATGAGATGTTCATGTTATGTCTGTTTCATTTCAGATGTAAACTGCCTAGTTTACATCCACTCATTGGTGCAGTATACAACTGTAGTAAAAACAAAATCAGATGAAATTCCAGGCTAAAATGTTTTCAACCAAATAGTTAAGGGACATTCTAGAATGATTGATGCCAGGGTGATTTCAATAACAAAAAAACTGTGCAGGAAAAGGTACAAACAAAACAACTACAGATGTGGAACTTACTAAACTACAATTCTTTCCAGCTGTTGCAGATTCCCACTCAATTTGTGGCAAGTGGCATCTTTCTAAAGACCAAAAAACAACAACAAAAAAACAAAAAAAACAAACCTACAAAAAATCCTACCAGAATACTTGGTATCCTACCACGACATGAGTAGCTACCACAAAGATGCAGTTGTGTAATCAATGTTCCCCCTGAAGAAATGTTCCAAAATCCAAATAAACACCTTTGCCCTTGGGTGGAACCTCTGGGGGACAATATACAGCCTTGCCGTACAATATACAGCCTTGCCGAAGAAACTTCCACAGTAGTTTCTTCTATCTAAATCAATGGGGGGCATTCACTTCTCTGGTATAAAGGGCTCCATTGCAGAGAAGTGGAAGTTCAGACTCCTCCTGCTTCTGCAGACCTTAGTGACCAAATGTGAGGAGAAGTGGGTTTTGATATAGAATCATAGCATAGAATCAAGAAGTTGGAAGGAACCTATAAGGCCATCGAGTCCAACTCCCTGCTCAGTGCAGGAATACAAATCAAAGAATATCTGTCAGATGGTTGTCTAATTTTCTCTGGAATGCCTCCAGTGTTGGAGCACTCTCCACCTCTTGAGGCAATTGGTTCCATTGGTCTAACAGTTAGGAAGTTTTTCCTGATATGCAATTGAAATCTAGTTTCCTGTCACTTGAGTGCATTGTTGCATGTCCTGCACTCTGGGATGATCAAGAACAGATACTGTCCCTCCTCTATATGACAACCTTTCAAGTATTTTAAAAGCGTTATCATATCATCCCTCTGTGTTCTTTTCTCAAATCTAAACATGTCCAGTACTTTCAGTCGTTCCTCATACCACCTCAAACATTATGCCATTTGTATCTCCATTTTCTCCCATAAATCTGAAACTATTCTGACTAGCATTGCAGATATTAGCATTCAGTCTCCCTCTCCAAATGTGCAGAGTTTAG